TTATGGATGTAGTCACGAAAAAAGGGAAATGTGTTCCAGGTAATCAATATCTATATCTATTTAAACAAAGTGTAAGGAGCTTATTGGAGTTAATGATCAGTAAAACTTTTTCTTTACAACTGTGGTTCAACTTAATTTAGATATTAGTCTTCTGAATGTACTTGATTTTGATGAAACGTAATGAATCGACTATGAAAATTTATTTCTCTATTAAACTTTGTCTCTGGATATGTTACTAATGACAACAAGAATTTCTATTACCTTCACCTATAGTAAAACGTCTATCCTACTATCTCAGTTTTTTACGGTTCATTAAACTTTCAACACAGGCTTGGAATAGCTACGGACAATTCACCGAAAATAGATGTTGCAATAAAATTATTTATTAATGGTCGAAGCATCAAACTGGTCATTTCATCTACGCATTTGTTTAAGATCATTTATCATCAAGCATCAAAGCATGAAGAAAAATTTGCCATTAATCAATCATACGGTGAACGAAAGACGGAAAAAAGTTCCTCTTTAGAGTAACTGATAAAATAGTTGAATGTTTCCTCGTTACTTTTCTCAGGATTAAGATTTCTCTCTAGTGACACGAATGGAAGACATAAATTACTTTCATTTTATATTGCATAGACGTTTCTTTCTGTATATACTAATCTATAAATCACAGTAAGTTAACCTATATTTGCAAGTAGATGGTACAGACAATTTGAGTCCTTCTAACTGTCGATCGAACATTTGATTCATATTTGCATTTGTAAATAACTAACTAGTAAATGTGAATACTAAAATAACACGGATATGTACCCTAAATAATGAAAAATTAAACATATGTAAAATTCCAACGGTTTTAATGCCTAACGTGGATTGATTGAAGTTAGATAATAACACTGTTTGATACCATCGCAGTGGTTTAGAAGTTAAGCATTCACTCGTGAAATCAAGAGTTCTGGGTTCAAATCTCGCGTGTAGGGTCGTGGACGCGCACTGCTGAGGTATCCCATACAAGGACGAGACAGCAGTCAAGGTTTTTAATGGTGGTCTAGCTTATGTCGACTTGTGAACTCAGCTGTTAAAATAAGTAAAATTCCTTATTCATGCACCTTTGGGTTTAGGCTTATTACTCTTATCATGAAGCATGAAGCTTAAAAACATGAAAAGATCATTGTGAGCTTTAGAAGTAATTAATCCATCCGTGAATAATGATAAACACGTGAAAATATGAAAGTCGAATGCTAATATGTTATCCTATACTCTTAACTATCTTTGTTAAAGTATGTCGTGTGGGAATATGGAAATCTCACGTCCTTTCGCTGCAAAAAATTACAAAAAAGTGCAATAAGAGACATCGTGGTGGTTGGCAATATGCATTAAACAGAATGAATATTAATCAAATATCGATTCCCGAGCTGCTCAATTCATAATACCGATCACTAATTAACAAGGTTGACTATCTCTAATTCCTATTAAGTCAAAACATGTATCGTAATCGTGATTTCATCACAAATCAAGAATCTTGGTTAACTGATTTACAGGACGATTGCTTAGTATCACTAAGTGATTTCAATATCTATCGTCAGGATCGATCAAGCATTAGAAAGAAGTGTGGCGGCTGTGTAACTACGTTTGTAAACGTTAACTGGTGTCGACCTACTTTTGCTGGTTTGAAGTTTTCAAATGACTTTATCGACTGTCTAACTTTAAGATGCCGTCCAAAACACCTGAATAAATACAAATATATTTATGTTACCAACATCTACATGACTTCAGACTGCACATCATCTGAACTATCTATTTTCTCTGACGAATTTACTGAATTCGCTATTACTACCTTCAGTAGTTCACCCTCAATTGTATGTGATGATTTCGATTCATGTGACTTTAGCTTCATCTCTTCACTAGGCTACCAAAATGTAGTAGATTTTCCTAATCATTTGAATACTCATCTAGACTTCTTTTTCATTAATGATGTGGGTACATATGTGACTCGTAAACGTGCTCCATTGTCTAGTCCGGAACACTGTATAATTCGTGTTCTACCTAAAGTATATGGAAAACATGAAAAGAGTACACCCTTGCACCAGTCCAAAAAAGTCATATATAGTAATTACTCAGAAGAAAATATACGAAATCTGTAAAACATGTTGCGTACGACTAACCGGGAATTATTTACAGATGACTCACTGGAAAACACAACGGATGTAATCACCTGTTATCTTAAATTCTGTTTTGATATTTGTTGTCCCACTGAAACTATTTTTTAAGTTCTGATAGACTCACATCCCCACAACTAAAACAACTACAAAAAGTAAAAGAAAGAATGTACAGGGAGCAAAAACTAAATGGTCTAATGAACGTAGAGATTAGACGTCTACACTCTGTGTTTACTCAGAAACTCCTATCTTGTAAAAGATCTCCAAGTATGTGGAAACTCTTTAAAGAACTTACAGGGGACAGGCATATTAGAAGCGATAGTTAGATGAATGTTCGTGACTTAAATAAGTCTTTTGTACTTCGGTCATCTGATGTCATGCTCTCTATATCCACAGGTTTGAGGAATAGCTGCGTTACCACTTTCGCTGAAACTTATGTCCGAAAATGTCTCCAGTAACTTAATTCATCTCGATGTTTAGGACCTGATGGGATCCCAAACCTCCTTTTTAAAATATGTGCTAACGTTCTATGTTATCCATTCACGAATATCATTAACAGATCCTTCTCAACTAATTTCATATCGAAAATGTAGAGAAAGATAAAGATAATCCCTATACCTAGGAAAGTATATGGTGATAAGAATGTGAGATTTCGATGCATAGCAATAACTTCACCTTTCCTCAAACTAGTGGAAAAATTATTGATACTCCCACTTCAACCTGTAATGAAAGAGCACATTGATCCGTATCAGTTTGCTTACAAATACAAAAGAAGTACTTTACATGCGATTGCTCTTCTGCATCACAATATAGTGCTCAGCTTAGAAAAGCATAAGAATTATGTTTGATGCGCTTTTTTGAACTTTACTTCTGCTTTGATTCTATCCCAGAACAACTTTTACTTAACAAGTTAATCAGTGTCAGCTCTGACAGCTGGATAACCAATTGGTTATATTCATACCTCTCTGGAAGAGAACAGTACACTGTGTCAAGCTGTTAACTTTAGCCTGAGATATGGACAGCACTTATATACGATTTTAGGATCCTATAAATCTTGTGGCATTGGAGACAAAGTGTCGAAAGTCAATTACCTTGGTGTTACCTTTTCCTCTGATCTCTATTGGTTTTCTCACGTTTTATTGTTATCGAAAAATGTTTACCGTTTCAATTACTACATATTGAGGCTGCATGCTTTTGGTATTATTCGGCATTTAGCCTTATAATTAGTCATATCCTGCATATTACCTACTATTCTTTACTGTTCTCCATTATTCTTTCCCGGGGTTTTCAGAAAAAATTTTGCTGTACTGCGAAGAGTGCTGATGGCAGTTAGGATGATGTATGGTGAATCTTTTGAGGTCATTATAAATATGCTTGTGGATAGACATCTTAAGTCTTGCAAACTCCTGTCAGGTGTTATCTTATCAGATACTAACCATCCACTTCATTCATATCTTTCTCCTTGTATATCTTCCGATAGAACGAGACGTCAATCCATTAAATTCCACGCACGCAAGCAAATCTATAAAAGTTCTGTAATACTTTACCTAACAAATATACTCTGTGACGAACAGGTTGTTAAAGTTAACCTAGTCAATGATCTGTACTCTTAAGCATGTCTCAAATTTGATAATTTGTGCAGACTCAGATTTTTTAAAACTTTTTTCTTTTTTTTTCGGTAAACAAGAAAACTTGTTGAAGTACCTCGTGCTGAGAATTCTATGTTGTACCAAAATATAATATTGAATAAGGCTATTGGTAACACTAATAATACTAATACTAATAATAATAATAAAAGACAATATTTTTATCCTTAGCTTAGTTGCTTTAACATTTGATTATCTAAACTAAAAGGAATTTATAATCAGTTTTGTCAAATTGTCCTACTGAAAATTAATAATTTTCTTGTAAACTAAGTTCACTAACATTGGAAGCAAAGATGGATAGTGGGTAGCAGTGGAATCCAAGACGTGCATTTCGTCCCATTTGGGACTTAAAACGCCATCGCGTTATCCGCTCAGCGAAAGGTACTGGGTTCGAGTCCCAGAGTGAACATCAACTTTGAGATGCAGGTACATCCAACTGACGAGTCCCAAACAGGACGAAACGCGCATCCTGGATTCCACTGCTAGCCATTATCCATCTTCGCTTATAATGCTTGTGAATTAAGGCTATATCGAGGCAATACGTACAGTATGCATATATGACAATTAGAGACTGACCAGTTACAGTCCTAAACCACAATGCGAAGATTCAAACAAACAATACTAAGTGAATGTAAGCTCACTAATATAATAGAGTACATTTCAGTTGACAACTATGAATTGAATATCATTTACCAAATACTATACAAACATTTATTATTAGAACTCATAGAACCCACATAACATGTTCCTTACTCATAAACTATTGATTTTGTATAATGAACAATGACCACATTAATAAGAATAACTAGCGAATGAATCATAATAGTATATATAAGTTTTTTTTTAAATCATGGTTTTCCAAATCACATTTGATTATTTTAATAATTAAGGTTGAAATCATGAGTCAATTGAATCTAGACCACCATGGAAGATAAACAGTTACTAAAATTAACGAGATTATGAATGGTTGGTTGGGAAGCCATATTCTTCAAGACAATTATTCTGCTGTCATTTTTCTTATTTTATCTGATCATTACGATTTATTGTTCATAATAATAATGCGTAGCTATTAAACAGTTGTTAGTTTTCTTAAATTACCTTACTTAATTACTTACTTACGCTTGTTACCCCTCGTCGAGGAGCATAGGCCGCTCACTAGCATTCTCCATCCAACTCTGTCCTGGGACTTCCTTTCCAGTTGTTATTCATCCTTTTCATAACTCCGCCTGTAGTTCTTCCAGAGTTACTGCCGGTCCCAAGCCTGGGTAAAGGAGGAGAGTTAGGCATGGGGTTAGCGACCCCATCCCGTAGAAAAACTAACTCGATAAAAAACGTTAACCAGAAAAAATAATTCTTAATTTATAAGGTATCGTAAAACAAGAACGTAGATCGCTATTGTTTGCAGTAGACGGTTTGCGATATTGGTAGATAAGTTACTATCAACTTGATAAGCAGCGGTTTTACAATTTAACCACTTATAATCGATTTAAAGATTTCACTAAACGTTAAATGTGAAATCCAATTAATCACGACAAAATTTACGGAATATCATACCGATGTGTAATAATATTATTTCGAATGAACACTAACGGTACTGGGTTCGAGTACCAGAGTGAACATCAACTTTGAGATGCAGGTACATCCAACTGACGAGTCCCAAATAGGACGAAACGTGCGTCTTGAATTCCACTGCTAGCCACTATTCATATCTGCTAAACACTGAAGATAGTTAATTAATCTAACCAAGTAATTCTAAATGGTAAACATTAGTTAATAAACCTGAATGTCACGTAGTTGTAAGTACACACGTAAGAATTTTTATACGAGGACAGGACAAATGTTTAATGTTGCCTAATTCTTAATGGTGTCTCAAATAAGACCAATCTATGACAAATACAGCCTACATATTTTTGATTTCATTTGGATGACAAAAATTTATTGCTATTTTAATCAGAACAGAAAAATAGAATTTTGGAGCTTCGAACAGTAACTAAATATTTTCTATTAGGATTGAAACTCAATTACTTACTCAATGTGAACATGAAGTTGTAAGCATAAAACACTGCTTACCTTGAAAAAAAAACATATGCTATTAAAATTGGCAGTTACTAAATAAAGCAATTAGTCCCTTTGATAAATTTCGATAATGCAATGAGAAGACGAAGATTATCAGAACTATGTGATATATTAGCGCAATACATTTCAAACAATCTGATCACACATATACTTGTTAAGAACATTTATATATAAAAATAAAAGGTCAACTAGACTGGAAATAGGGGTAAGAATAGACAAGGATAATAATGATAAAATAATGTGAAAACAATTTGACACCTAATCACTCTGGATAATAAGCATATATTACCAGGGTAGGTTTAAAGAGAGAACAAACTGTTTTTGAATACACAAAGGGGGGTTGAATTTTCGTATGGCTAAGGCTTCAACAAACCTTAGTATACGCCCTTTTACACTTTTAAACAACACCACAAAAGCCGAGTTTAGATCAATCTTATGACCTGTTTCGATTATATGCTTAGCAATAGAGGATGATGGATGTTTATCTTCTACATCACCTTACCATTTAGAGGTGATTCAAATAGCCTTTTATTGAAACAAAGGCTTAAATCTGTTATCAACAAAACGTATTGTGCTGCGAAAGTCATAATCAAGGAAAGAACGAGGTCCATGCTTCATTCAAAACCTAGACGAAATGAAAACGATTGTGTCACATCCCACTGTGTTTACCAATTTAAATGTGTGTGTGGTCACACATACATAGGGAGGAGCAATCGTGATCTGAAAATTAGGGTGGGTGAAGATGTACCAGAATGGTTGCAAAAACAAATACAGTCGAATGACCCAATAAGAGTAGAGGATAAACATCCATCATCCTCTATTGCTAAACATATAATCGAAACAGGTCATAAGATTGATCTAAACTCGGCTTTTGTGGTGTTGTTTAAAAGTGTAAAAGGGCGTATACTAAGGTTTGTTGAAGCCTTAGCCATACGAAAATTCAACCCCCCTTTGTGTATTCAAAAACAGTTTGTTCTCTCTTTAAACCTACCCTGGTAATATATGCTTATTATCCAGAGTGATTAGGTGTCAAATTGTTTTCACATTAGTACGTCACCTCATTTGTTTTCACATTATTTTATCATTATTATCCTTGTCTATTCTTACCCCTATTTCCAGTCTAGTTGACCTTTTATTTTTATATATAAATGTTCTTAACAAGTATATGTGTGATCAGATTGTTCGAAATGTATTGCGCTAATATATCACATAGTTCTGATAATCTTCGTCTTCTCATTGCATTATCGAAGTTACTAAATAGCCTGAAAATAACATCCAACAATATCGCGCTTAGATTATATCCAATCAAATGTCGATACAAAACCAATGAATACTGTTCTTTTAAAACCTTGAAAATAGGAAATGCCTTTTTTAGGTAGAACGACGTGAAGAGATGTATGACAGTCTACAGAGAATATCATTTCACAATTGATTGATCACTGGATAGTGATCAATGTCATACGTGTCAAGTCCTTCTTAGTGCAGATCGAATTCTATCGATCAAGTTGTGGCCACTAGTCTAAGTGGCTCAACACCGCGTTCACTATGTTGAGATAAGATGGTCGTTGGAGGTGGTCAACAGGAAACCCTGGACCCATCATTTCATTTATGGTAGCTTGATATTTCTCTGATTGAACTAGAAATATCAGATACCTTCGTAGACTTATTGAATGTGTATATTACTCTAAGTAAATAAAGACGGTCTGTTTGAACATCTGGGCTACCTATTCCTCTTATCTAGATATTTCAACAAGTTATTTAATTTTTTTTGTTTTAATACATTATTATGGCTATCAATCGCATAACCTGTTCACGTGCGTTTCTGAATAGTGTACAAATTTTGGTTGTACAAGTAACAAAGCCGCAATTAGAGATATCGTGGTTACTGGCAATATGCAGCGAGAATAATGTACATTATTTGAATGTCGATTGACTGGACTGCTGACTTTAACTGGTGATCACTCAATATTTGTCGTCAGGATTGATCAAGAAGTAAGCAACGGAAACTTGTTGGAATACATTATACTGAGAATTCTATATTGTACCAAAAATGTAATACTGAATAAAGCTAATAATAATAAGTAAAATGATGGATTTTCAGGGTCACTAAGTTCGTAGTACGCTGTTCGGTTATTCAAATCACAAGTTAACTTGAAATGACACACAGTCAATTGAACGAGAATAATTCACATCAAACGCTGGACATTAGTTTCATGCTAATCGGTACTCATCAGTAAGATGCACCTCCAACCACTGACAAGCAATGATCCCTATGGTATTCGAAACTGTCACCCAGTTCTATAGTCTGAACGATGGCGTCTAATCTATTAGGACTGTGCCTGATATCCTCTAGGACTGAGATATTTTTATTGACTGATCACTGAATGGCGACTGATGTTATGTTTGCCTAGTCACTTGGATTCTATCAATGATATTCTAGATAAGTAATAAATCTTACAGACATGTCTTAATTCATTAGTTAGTAATGGAAAACCTATTCTTATCCTTGATTTTGGCTCTTTCAAATGCTTAGGTTAATTATTTGGAGTTGCGAGCAGTGGCTATTCGGTCTATCGATTGACAGGCATTTTACTTACTTGAAAATCGATAAAAGTCCTTCAATAAAATCATTCTCATTAAGAGCCACCTTGTAATGAGGTCACTGGTTGAAGTTACTCGAAATAGCGTACATAATGTTTCAATATGACGTTGATTACTATTCAATGATCGATCACAGAAAATATCTTCGCGATGACAACGATGGCTCGCATAAATTGTAATTTTTATCAATGAAAACGTATCATTTCCAATCACGTTGAACAGATCATACCTCATGACCAGTAGCTTTAAATGTTGGTATTTATCTAAAAGAAGTAGTTGCAAATCGAAAAGTTTCTTGTACTTACACTTAATCGACCATTCAACAGGGAATTTGATTTGTTTTTTATCGTAAAAGTCTAACCATGCTTTCTTCTCAGAAACTATCATAAGAAACAATTATACAGTATTGAGAGACAGGTTGACTATGAATTACTGTTATAGACAAGCATTGAATCCAAACTGTTGAGAAAAAGGTCAACAACAGTTCGTCGAAATTAAAGTCAATAGAACAAGTTGTTAGTCGCATATGGAGAAATTCTAATAAATTACTTCCATCTGAAGTTTTTGTTGACGATGTAGTCTTAAAAGACTATATGCTTCATGATAAAAGCACCGTGTTTAGAAAATGCAACTTCACATGATATATTTTATGTATCGTCATATCGTCCACATAGCAAAGTATTTATTGTCGTGTTAGCGGGAAATAAACCGGATTAAGACATGTTATGTGCATGATCGTGACGGCGCACGCTGATTGGCTAATTCTAAACCAATCAGCTCTGGCAACTTATTGGAGAAACATCTAGAAGCTTCTTATGCATATACTATAAATATATGAACGTTTTTCTAACCATTGATTACTGTTCACCTACCCTTATTGTTTTGAATACAATTTCATTCCTGTTCAACGTATTCTGATTTTGGGGGTCTTGTCGAGAGTCATCGTATAAGAATACTAAGCAATAGGAGTAGCTGGGTCGTTTATTAACAAAACAACTATAACATATCGAAAGACCATTCTGCTTATAAAACAGAAAACTTTCCTAACATATATATGCGCATCAAACTGAACACTGCTATGGTTGAAATAATAATTAATTATGCCAACCGAGAAATGAACAAAATGAACCAGATAACGTTTCATCTCATTTATTTTGATCAAAAAAGAAAAAAAAACAAGCAAATAATAAAGCAGTGAAATACAATAACAATGAAGGTGTATTGAGTATCCTTTTACATCTCTCCCTGTTCAACTCTCTTATGTAATATATATGCATCGATAATAAAAGAAGCAAGATGAAAATCAGAGAAATACGTATATATATTGGTTAGGACATTATAAACGAAAAGAAATGGGAAATTACTAAAGCAAACAAAACCCAGATATATATGCATATATAAAGAAAATCTTACAGGTCGAAGTGACAAAAAAAGAGAGGAAACTGACAATTAGACATTAATTATATTCATCAGTAAGATAATAACAGATCAGATTATTGCAATTATTCATTCATCAAACTAAACCATATGCACAATAGTACAAGTACTCTGGAAATGTTACATTTGTGTTAGTTAGTTAGTTAGTATGAATGTTCAATGAATTGATATGATCATGATGAAGAACAATGTAATCATTGAGTAACCACACACACATACATACATACACACAATTATTTACACATACATACGTATACCGATTAAAAGATTTTTTTTTAAAAAAGGAGTGAATTCGCAAAAGTAAACTTATAAGAAAACAGTTGGGTTAATGCAGTAATTTGTGGATAAAGATCAACTAAAGAATAATAAATAGTACAAGAGACAATAACAATAGACATTAAAACCATTAAGAGAACAGGCTAAAAAGACAATATTTAAACAAGAAACTAAAGAGTAGTTGAATATGCTGAAAACTGAGAAGATAACGAACCCACTAAACAAAAAAACATAAACAATAGCAAAAACGTAGTTAATACAAGTATGTATATACATATAACAAATAGTACTATCAATTAAAGCATAGAGAATAGATTGTCGAATAACAAAAAAAGAGACTTAATGAATATACAAACTCAATTATGAATTAAACTGATTATTATTATTATTATTATTATACAATGAAGCATTGTAGACTGACAAAATAATGATCAAATGCTTAATTCATTATTAATACATTATATAATATATACCATCAACTACAATGTAATCATTCAATTCCTTTTAAACATTAAATAGATTACTAATGTATATTTATCATATTACAATTCCATTGTATGATTCATTCTTAACAGTTGCTTAGTAACAAAAGTCAACAGTTGAAAGATGGATATTTCAAAAAGACCGATTTTGAATGTATAATCATAACACATCATTTGTGTATTGAATCCTTTTTTTTTTATTATATAATGGTATACCTTCAATCATTATTGTTGCTTTCTTGTATTGTAAATATTAAAATACTACTTCTTCAAAAGATAAGGAATATAGAAATAAGTCTAAGTTAGCCGATTAGACAGTACAAATTGATGCGTTTTCTCAGCTAGATCAATTAGAACTGCATAAATATGCGGTGATAATGATATAGGATAAATGTCGGTAATTTTATTTTCATGATTATGTGTTTTGATCGGTGTAGAATTATTATTCATTATTGTAGAATTGGGCATATCATTATTATTATTATTACTACTACTATTAGTGGTACTAGTAGTAGTATCATTTAACTGAGTGATAGTATTGCTTGTTCGACAAATTGTAGTTGATTGATGTTTTGGATGATATGCTTCTAATAAATAATAAGCTAATTGAGCTAATTCACGACTAAGTGATTTACAACTAGCTTTACGTGCATCTGTTTCATATAACTGTTCTAATTGTTTGATTTCATTTGCTGACAATGGAGACTGTGAAATGAAAAAAACAAATAAATCTATTAAGTGTACAAAATGAAGTTAATTTAGGTAGGCGTTTATAAAGATTGTATGAGCCTGCTGAGTAGTTAACATTCATCATAACAAAGAGCAGTTTAGACCCAAGACATTATTGTATCATCACATCAATAACCACATCATAATATATGTGTAAGGACGGCCCGTCGGTAGACTCTCGGAAGCCCTAAGAAGCCCAGGAACAGACATTCCATCCAATCACGGCTAGGGGAATGTTCTAGAAATGCCAACGTGGAGCTTCTCCATTAGATGGATTAGTTTAATACCTATGTGCTTATTGGTTGACCTAAATGATAATTTACTTTCAGCCAAAAACTATAAATACACGAGATTTCTGTGCTATATTTTGACACTGGGGCAATAAACTTCCTGCTTACCAGTCTATGTCTTCTCTCTTTGCGACGTTGCGGGTTCTATCGTTCAAGTAGTCAAGTAGTTCGCGGCATATTAAGAATCAAGGCTCTAGATATAACAATATGGTAGGTGGATGATAAAGATAACTTTTGTGCATAGTCCGTAACAATAATTATAATAATATGTCCTCTCTATTCACAAGTACTTTATATAAGCCAAATACTAAGGCAAAAAAATGTAAAATAATCAATAGTTGAACTAGTAGAACATCTTGTGAATGCTGGTCATAAGATAGAACATACTGACTCTAATGTATATGTATACACACATAATTTAAGACGAAAGACTTTACTGAAAAACAAGATTTTTGCCTTTACTTTCACGAATAGGTTATGATGCATTGTGTTTAAAAATAAAAGGTAAGGTAATCAGAAACACAACCTTATCTGTATTGTTTACAAAAATGCATTTGCGAATTGCCAATCAAAACTTAGCTACATCTGGAAAGTTTCCTGGATATGAAGTACTGCCGAAAAATATAATTTCTTCAAAATATATAACTTTTTGGTCATCAAAAAGTGAATTTCCATATGATTAATAAACTCTTTTTTTGAAATGTAGTTCAGGAATGTTCCAGCAAGTTATATTTAGTGTTATAATCGATGAAAACTGTCATTTATTTTGAATAGACTACTTATTTTCTAAACTTCTAGGTTGAGTATTTGAGAGAATATTACACATTCTTTTTATTATTTTACCTTTTCAGTTCAATAAAACGTAGGCACTGATTTCACTTACGTACGTAGATAAATTCACACAAACTTACATACTTTACTTACGCCTGTTACCCCTCGTGGAGGAGCATAGACCGCTCAAAATGCACACAAACTGCATACTTAAAATTAACAGTGCTGAATCGGATGTCACAAAAATCTGTTATTGAAGTATATGATATAATATAGGATGTTTGCCTTTAAAATAAGTCGTGAATAACATGATTTAAATGGTAGTTAAAACGATTACGTGAAAAACGATGTGTTCTAAGACGGAACAGCGAATTCTGAGAATCAAATAAGTATTAGATAATTTTAAAACTAAAAATCTAAGAGAAGACAAAATGTGAATGTATCATTCCTAGATTATGATTGAATTTGAGTCGTGTTACACGTCTCTAACCAATGGTTAGAATTACTACGCTGACTTTCATCAGTTGGTCTGAACAAATCTGTATGACTCTGTACGACAGTCAGTGACTTCACGAGCTGGAAAGACATATCATGGTTTGGCTGCTTTCAGTTTTCGTCCAACCACATAAGTCGATGAAGACTCGTCACAATATCAGTTGATGTGCCATGTTTACCTAGTGCTCTATGTGCAAACTTACTATTGCTCGCTAGAAGAACCCTTCCAAGGTGTAGGCAACCGGAATATGATAACCGCCGTCATACCTATAACAGCACTCAAGACCATTGTATTCATAATAACTACCTGACCGTTGCAACTACCTTGACGTTGTGGTCGGGCTTGCCTATCATTAAGAACCAGTCGGACTATACCGGCTGGAATAATCGTTCCTAAAGGTTCTACCATGCCAGATAGGTCGTTTAAATGACGATAAGGCTAAAAGCAGCAGACCCGAGGTTCTAAAAAGAAGTCGTACTGCTGACCGTTCAGCGGTGTGACAGCGGTAAGGTTTTTACTTCAGACAACCAGTATGACACTGATGCTGCTTTATCAAAAATGAAGAGTGCGGTTAGAATAGGTCGACCCTAAAAATGCACACCTCGCCTTATTCAACGAATTCCTGTTTCCGGCGCTAAGGTCCTAGCATGTACGGAGCTAACACGAAAACTATTCACAAAAAGGTCGTGTGTGACCGACCTCAAACAGTTGTCTCTTGGGTACTATGGTCACGTTCTCAGGTCACTGAGACCACCTCTAACCCGATTTTCTTTTCACATACCTTTAGAAGAACTCTTACACGGTATGGACAATCCGGAAGTGATAACTATTCTCATACCTCTAACAGCACTCATAATAACTAAATATATCAAAATTTCAATCGAAAAACTGTTAGAAACAAAATTGAATCTTGGTTGTTATCTCAGTTAGACAGTAATACACACACATATGCATTGTCTCATGTCGGAATGCTACATTAGTACAGTGAAATAAAGATATTTCGATACAAATTCCAGAGTAGTGAAATTAAACATGTCAACAGTAGTAATAGGAAAGATTAGGTATAGAAAAGGAAAAAAATTGAACAAGATTCCGGAAGTTTGATTCTGAAGGAAAACAAAGAGTGAGTGTTCAATTTTGTAACAACAATAAATTACTGTAAAAAGACTGTTGAATTTTCATCACGAATTAATCTTCATGAAGATCGTGAATGATTACTGATGAGTAGTTCCATATCAGGACAAAACAGTCAACTAATTTTTCTATGATTTCCAATGATTGTTTAACTAAAATCACTTCATCATATGAATGATGAACATTAATTTACATTAAATATATAAATTCAACAAAACAAATAACAACTAATTTAGGCTATATCAAGGCGATACGCACAGTATGCACATATGCCAATTAGAGATTGACCAGTTGCAGTCCTAAAAATATCAATGGGAAGGTTCAAACAAACAATACTAAGTGAATAACTAATTGTGTTTTCAATTATTTTCTAAATTCTATGCTTAAAATACAAAATGTAATCTAATCAAATTAAAATAGATTTTTTCCAAAATAGAACAATCACTTACTGTAATAGGTATACGAAATTCATTTAACAATCTTGTTCGTAAACTCATAAATTGTTCTAATGATAAAAAACCATCAGCTTGTGTTTTCGGTGTTTCATTTAGACCGACAAGAGCTAATAATGTTTTAGCTATTATAGCAAATGCCTATAGATAATTAATACAATAATCATTACTTAAAAATATTATATTAAATAATAATGAAGAAAGCAAATTATACTATAATTTTTATTAAGATTAGGTTATGAATGAATGAAACTATTCACAGATGAATTATACTAACAAATTATTTTGTTAAGTGATTAATGGGATATATGTTAAGTCCTGTTTACTACTGAACGAATTCCATAGACCGAATCGCAACATGGCCACTAGTCTATGGGAATAAATATCACATGAGCTATTGCTGAAATATAAGGTGGGGGTTGGAGACAGTCGACAGATAAGATTCAGATCTCACAATCGGCAGGATATTTTACAAAGAAATAAACGGAATATGATATTTTATGCCTCCAACATCAGTATGTGACTGTGACCGTGATTCTAAACCAATGGTCCACACAGACACCAGGATCTCGAGGGAACAAATGAGGTATGAACTTATTCTTGGTAACTGACCGCTGTAAGACCTCATCTTTTAACGTTGCTCCACAGCCTTTTGAATTAGAACTGTAGGTCAAAGGCTCGGGAAGGGGCTGTTCTTTAAGAAAACTATTTCCTTCGGTCTGGGCACCTGGAGAGAATACCAACCCACACACGAGTTTAATAATTTATGTGGAGCATATATATTTTAGTGCCTCTTTGTACTAATCCTTGTGTTTAAGTAAAGAAATAAATAATGTGCACAAGAGTGTTGTCTGTAGATTCATTCTCAACAGCTGACGGTAAAAGAGCTTTTAAATGATCTTTTCAAAACAAAGCAAGTGACCAGGTCATACAAGAAAATCTGTTATAGAAATGAATATATTTGCTGACGTTGAGTTCACTAAGCTAAGTTGGATAGTTGTCATGAGTGAAATTAGCACGCAAGAAAATGGGAAGGGTGATAAATACTCAACTAAAAGAACAAACATAAATTAAAATTTACAAATGAGTGATTGTTAGACAAATCAACTAAGAAACCTAAACAAAAGTACATTTCCATTCAAAATCTCACAATGTTATAAAAAAGGGAATAAACAACATAGGACTATCATTATCTCAGTCAAAGTCCGATAAAGGAGAACACCTTAGACAGAATAATACTGTATACTCACTTCAGATGCATGTGATGGAACAGTTGGTGAACTTGCGCCAGAATTTAATTGAGGAAAAGAAGACCATGAGTGATAAGAAGAATTATTTAATGAATTTGTATATGATGGATGGAAAAAATCATTAGGGAAACCGGATAAAATACCATGAATAGATCCATTGATCGATTCTGAACAAACTGTTTTACCCAGAGATGAAAGCGAATATAACACTGGACAAAGACCACGTAGAAAAACTAGATTACATACAACGACATTACTATGATTAGGTGAATATAAAGCCTGTAAAATGAATTTAAGAAAAAAAGGAAAACAAGTAATTTTCAATGTGAAGGAGCAGAGATTGTTTAATTTCATTGAAATCATAAACCGGTCTAAGTAAAATAACCAGTGAAAAACAAGAAGTACCCATAAACGGCCGTCTAGTGCTTTCAGGTTCCGAATAGCGGTCTAACTTACATCAGTTCATGATTTCGATGAAAGACAAGGTAATTAATGGTGATAAAAATCATACAACTAATGAAGTCTTGTACATTAAATGAAGTGTATAATCATCCCACAGATGTACACAAAAAAGGATGAAAATATCTAAGAATATGACATCGACTCTTTGAAGTCAAATGACCATTTTGATATGTCCGCAGACAATATATAATATTAATAAACTACATTATACGATTGTCTACGGCAATAAAATAAGAAAGATCTTAGGTAATATGGCCTATTATATGTTGTAATACAGCAAAGGTACTTATTGTTTATCATTGCCTTTTATTCTTTTACATCAATCCTACTTCTCGAACCACATTCTATATACTTAGTCTTCCTTAATGACTACTATTACCACTAATATTTCAACTCGTCTACAATGCTTATTGTCGATTTGCATCAAGCTGTGCTGATATGTCTCACCTAATAGTGATAAACATTTATGTCAGATCCTATGTTGATGAAGACTGACTATGTATCGAGATGTATAAGGATTTCTTCATTAGAGATGTTAACAACTCAATAATAAGAGTAATTTTCACACTCAGTGAAAACCCCGCATAGTAGAAGATAAGTTATTCACGTTTTATGAATATACTTACGAAACTTTTTACAATCGACTTCATAGTAAAATGGTTGCATAGTGAGTTCATTATACCATTATTTTAAAATCATGTAACTTTCTTGTAGAAACTGCTAAACAACCACAATTCCTTGAACGTTTTAAATGGTAGTTTCAGGATATATCACAAATATAAATGCTGATCATTTGGGACTTCAGATATTTACTTAAATGATTATACATCACTCAAAAAAACAAAACATCAATAACCCTTAAATTTTTTTGACGATTTATACATGTTTAAAGAGAAACTTAGATAAAACAACCATTAACAGTAATTACCATAGTATAACCACAGTGAATAAATCAATGCAAATATACCTGTAATTCCGAATAGATCCAACGTATCTGTAAGGGAAATGTGCGTACATAAGTAATCAAGTCATCCACAGCAATAGAGAGTAAATGATGATGCCATTCTTGTTCACGTGTATGATGATGTTGAAGAGAACCTGAGTGAAATATATAAATATGTATATATGTTAAGATTGTTTTAGTAAATATATACGGAAAAGAAGATGAAACAAAAGAATATTACCGAACGACCTTGAAATGCTAACCTGTTTCAATCAATCAGAAAGCCGTGAATATCAGTGAATTATTTCTAACACAAAATCAAAGATACTATTTGTCATTATTAAAGGTTAGGGTTAGTTTATACATACCATAACTAATATTCTTAATCCTAATCATACACCCAACTCCTAAATTTCGGCCGCATTCCAATTCTAAATTCATAACCTTAAATCTGATAAAAATTGAAGTGAAAAATTATTCCATCTCGTATTCACATCCCATAATTTTGATTAGAAATTTACTTATGCTGTTACTTTATTTAGTATGGCTCCAGACATTTCTAGAAGCCCGAAGTTGTGTGTAGCTCTATACAAACTCTCGTTTTTTTTCTGTACATAAACTAAACTTGGAGTAAAGCATTCGTTTCGCGCCTTTTCCCATGTGTTCAAGTTACCATGATGATTATTATTGCTTTTTGTTTCGTGATTTCACCTGTGAAAATACTACAATCTCCACAAGACTGTTATGATAATTATGATATGCTCATTAGTGACTAGCTTTAAGATGTAACTCCCAGAGTTCTAGTGAGAAGCCGTAATCAGTTCTGTTCCGGATGTGAGACAGTTATCCACCTCAGACGATAGATGAAAGGTTGCACAAGAAAACATTTACAGTAGTTTCTCGAATACTCAGAATAATAATTCAGCCCTAAATATGGTGACATGCCCCTCTTGTGAATTTTTCTCATACACACGACCCATTAATTCATTAATACCTTCAATCGAAATGTTCATGAATTCAACTGTAAAACTACAGGATTATTGCATGTTCAGTAAGATTTATTTATGAGTCAATTGAATCTAGACCACCACGGAAAACCTGGAAGTACTGGACCGCCGTTTCGTTCTGTTGTGGGACACCTCAGCAGTGTGAACCTGCGATCTAGATTTTCCATGACGGTCTAGATTCAATTGACTCATGATTTTAAGTACACAATTAATAAAATCTTCACAAAACCCCTTCTGATAATAATTATATGCCCACTAATGACTGGCTTCAAGAGATCTTTCCTGGAGTTCTAATGAGAAGCAGTGACTAGTGGAGTTCAACCGGGTCTGTTGTGAGATATGAACTCACTGATGACATTGGTGAATGGTTGCTCAATTTCGTGGATCGATTGAAGTTAGACATTTACATTGTTGGATGCCGGCTCGGTGGTCTTGAGGTTAAGCGCTCGCGCGCGAGACCTATTAGGTCCTGGGTTCGAATTTCGCAAGGTGGGATCAGGGGTGCGCACTGCTGAGGAGTCCTACAATGGGACGTAACGGCCTTCCAGTGCTTCCAGGATTTTCATGGTAGTTTAGCTTCGATTGAATCATGAATTCAACCATAAAATTACTAAACTCTCCACAAAACCACTCCCGATAATCCAGTAGTTCACTTTTACGAAATCTAATGGTTAGCCGATTAGTATGTAGACGTGCACATGTCACTAATTAATTATATTTACACATTTTCATGACGATCACAACACAATGTATATATACAGTCCGACTGTTAACTCATATTACTGGTCATTAGCATATGCACACAGACTTTTCAACTCACAAGAAAAGATACAAAGTAATGCAGTATGACCGTGATATTCCCCAGAACAGTAGAAGTAAGACGGTGAAACAGTGAGAAAGTAATTAAATCTTACAATTAAAAATCAAATCTTTAACTATTACTTAAAAGCTTTATGTATAGTGTCTAAGACAATATGACATATATTTATGGAAGTATGATTACAAAATCAACTTGAAAATTATGTAGCTTACTTTGATTAGGTGTAGATGAGATTTGATCGAATTTTACTGAACCAGCGGCACCAGTTGATAATGAATATGGACGTGTTGTAAGTGAATGATGTGAATTGATAGAATTGGTACAATGATGAGAACTTTTATCAATAGAAGGACGTTGATTAAATGTTGATTTTATATTGTTAGTACTATTAATTTGACTTATATTAAGAGATGGGCTTGAAGATGTAGTGGAATGATTAGATTTTAATGATGGCGGACCTTCTAGAGCTTTTTCACATACACGTCGAAAACATTGACTACGCCAAGCTGAACAAACAGTAGTACTATAGATATCTAGTATTTGTGCTCCCAAAGAACTGCCCCGAAAAGAAGCACCTATAAATAAAATTTACAAGTAAATAAAGAAATACTACTATTTAAATCAAATAACTGCTGGTATTTTTTTCATAAATGCCGAATGATACATTCATCTCAGATCTTAGATCTCAGATCTGTTATTTGAAGTAGATAGGTTACATTATACTCATCACAGATGATAGCTAATTTTACTCAACATTATTATAGGTTTCTATTTCTAGAGATAACTCACCTAATGGGGAATTGACTAATTAAAGATGACGCTAGTAAAATGAAGTCATTTGAACATTATGAGTGACTTGAAAAACCATACAAATTTTCAATTATTCTGAAGTTTCGTTAAAAATGGTCTGCATGGAGTTGTAATAAACCTTCATGAAGTGGAATAATTAACGCGTCTGCTAACTTCATTTGGGAGGATTAAATTGAAAAATATGTGTGTGGTGTGAAATATCCTATTACCGTCATAACACTAAGTGAAGAGAAGTTATGTAACTAGGAATCTTGTGAGCTTATATAGATCATTTTCGTTAACACAAGTATTACAAATCTAGCCTGTAATTGTGAAGGAGATTAAAGTAAAACGAATAAATATTTAAAGTTAGTTAAATCAAGAAAATCTATCGGTCTATATGGTAACCGACTATTGATATACGTTGAGGAAGAAAACATATACTTGGTTGTTTTAAGTCCATAATTGTTGGTTTACAACTGAAAATTACCAGCACTAGTATTTGAAACGTCTCGTCGATTGAACGCTATATTCGTTTCCTAAGCTATTCTGGTAACCCACGGACTAGAACTACTTAGCGACTTCAACACAAGAGAGAAGACACGAGTATGAGAGAAACACTTTACTCCAAGGTTCAATCTTGTACAGAAAATCATGGGTATTTATAGATGTTAGCGTATGTTAAATCAACATCATATTTCAGTCAATCCGTTAACGACATATTATGCTACCGACCAATAGTAGCACGCCACATTGGAATCCTAGAATTTTCCATCATACCCTGATTGGTTAGGGCCCCTCGGCTCCCTTTTGGGCCTCTGGAGTCTCCGTTGAAGTTCTCCGGAAGCCAACTCAACACCTCCTCCGAATAAGATTTCCTCTTCGGGTCCACTTGCAGCTTGGTAACAGGTTTTCTGCGGCGTTCGGACTTCCTTGGTATTCCATGTCTATGGGTGTCTGTTGGGGTTCTTGCCACTGGAGTATCTGTAATTATCTCTAGCGGAAGCCTCACTTGACTATCTACAGTGTTTAGAATCCTTTTTTCTCTGTGTATTTGATTAATGTGTCTGATCTACGTTCCGAAAGTCCCACACACCTTGTATAGAACATTTCCCATTCTCTTTTCAATGACTCCAGGTTCCCAACGATTTTTTCCACTGTATGACTTGACGAGCACTTTATCACCGACGGTAAAACTCCGGATATTCTGACTTTGTCTGCGTCCAACCATTGGTTTAGGTGGCAACATGGCGTCGAATACAGTTCGAATGTTTCTCCTGAACATCGCTTCAGCAGGGGATTTTCCATCTGGGACGATATGGTTAGGCGTAGTTCTATAAGCTCTTAGAAATTTCGTAATTACCTGACTTGTCCCCTCGCCTTCCCCTTTCAGGAATGCTCTTTTGAATGTGTCGACGAAGCGCTCAGCCTGTCCATTTGATTAAGGGTGATAGGGTGGTGAGCGCATATGTACAATTCCATTAATGTTGCAGAAGTGCTTGAATGATTCAGCAGTGAATTGTGATCCATTGTCGGTCACTAAAGTCTCAGGAATTCCAAAGCAACTAAACAGTTCGGATAACTCGCTGATCGTTTCACTGGCTGTACAAGTTGCCATGGCATAGATTTGTGGCCATTTTGTGAGTGCCCCATCTATATTTCAGCAAGTGATGGACACTATGCTACAGGATGTTCCAGGTGCTGCAGCTTATCTGGATGATATAATAATTATGAGAGTAGATAGAATAGACTTAGGAAAGAAGCAGCAGATCCGAGACTAGTATTTTCTTGATTTCCTCGAAAGCGGCTTGACAATTCGCAGACCAATCCCACTTTACATTCTTCGCCAGAAGGTTATTTAAGGGTGCACGCAGGTAAAGAATGTTAGGAATAAAAGCTCCATAATTACTAACTAGTCCCAGAAAGGATCGTAGTGTAGAGACGTCCGTTGGTCTAGGCAAAGTTTTCACTGCCTGAGTATTATCTGGATCTGGTATTGTGCCATCTTTGTCGATTATAAATCCGAGATAGCTTACCTTTTTCATACAAAAGTTAAATTTCTCTGCACGCAGTCGAAATCCATATTCGGCTATTCGCGACAGCACCTAGTCGAGCTTCTTTTCTAAGTCTATTCTATCTACTCTCATAATTATTATATCATCCAGATAAGCTGCAGCACCTGGAACATCCTGTAGCATAGTGTCCATCACTTGCTGAAATATAGATGGGGCACTCACAAAATGGCCACAAATCTATGCCATGGCAACTTGTACAGCCAGTGAAACGATCAGCGAGTTATCCGAACTGTTTAGTTGCTTTGGAATTCCTGAGACTTTAGTGACCGACAATGGATCACAATTCACTGCTGAATCATTCAAGCACTTCTGCAACATTAATGGAATTGTACATATGCGCTCACCACCCTATCACCCTTAATCAAATGGACAGGCTGAGCGCTTCGTCGACACATTCAAAAGAGCATTCCTGAAAGGGGAAGGCGAGGGGACAAGTCAGGTAATTACGAAATTTCTAAGAGCTTATAGAACTACGCCTAACCATATCGTCCCAGATGGAAAATCCCCTGCTGAAGCGATGTTCAGGAGAAACATTCGAACTGTATTCGACGCCATGTTGCCACCTAAACCAATGGTTGGACGCAGACAAAGTCAGAATATCCGGAGTTTTACCGTCGGTGATAAAGTGCTCGTCAAGTCATACAGTGGAAAAAATCGTTGGGAACCTGGAGTCATTGAAAAGAGAATGGGAAATGTTCTATACAAGGTGTGTGGGACTTTCGGAACGTAGATCAGACACATTAATCAAATACACAGAGAAAAAAGGATTCTAAACACTGTAGATAGTCAAGTGAGGCTTCCGCTAGAGATAATTACAGATACTCCAGTGGCAAGAACCCCAACAGACACCCATAGACATGGAATACCAAGGAAGTCCGAACGCCGCAGAAAACCTGTTACCAAGCTGCAAGTGGACCCGAAGAGGAAATCTTATTCGGAGGAGGTGTTGAGTTGGCTTCCGGAGAACTTCAACGGAGACTCCAGAGGCCCAAAAGGGAGCCGAGGGGCCCTAACCAATCAGGGTATGATGGAAAATTCTAGGATTCCAATGTGGCGTGCTACTATTGGTCGGTAGCATAATATGTCGTTAACGGATTGACTGAAATATGATGTTGATTTAACATACGCTAACATCTATAAATACCCATGATTTTCTGTACAAGATTGAACCTTGGAGTAAAGTGTTTCTCTCATACTCGTGTCTTCTCTCTCGTGTTCAAGTAAAAATATTTTCGAAAACTAAGTAATCAATTTATACATTATTTTTCTGTTCCATTGAATGTCTACCGATTAGGAACATTCCAAATGAATGGAGAATATATATATATATATATATATATATATATATATATATATATATATATATATATATATATATACTCGCAAATGGTTTGTTCATTCAAATGTTACAGTCCTCACTTTAAAGTGAGGATATAAAGTGAATTCAGGGAAGTATGGTTCAATGGTTAAGCCAATGTGAAGCAATCAAGTGATGATGAAGGAAGTAAATGTATATATCAACACATTTGTAACCAATAGACCATATTATCCATACTTTATAAAATCACATACTTATATAACAAAAATAAAATAAACGTAGTTAAGATTGATATATAATATAGACTACAAATATTCAATATCCTGTGAAGGTCACTGAACAACCAACGAGTTTAGAGTTTTGCATGGATATATATAGTAAACGGATATTTAAGTGGGGAAGGACAATTTATTTAATTTTGATACAAAATTGCAAAAAGTCATAGTAAATTATGAAAACTATACATTGAATACTTCATTTGTAAGTTCTCCAATAATTATCCTTCACATCCTTGATCATTCTTCTCCTAATTCTCAATTACATTATGTTTCCCTTTCTGTTTTCTTCAGTTCAATCTTCCTAAGCTTCTGTTGCCAAGCATTCCATTTCTGATTGGTGTTACATACTACTTATTTCGACAGATGTAAGTAGCGTACACCAAATATATATCCTAGCCGTTATGATAATCCTGTATCGGAATGCACTCCTACCATTTACATTTTTTAGTTACATGTTACGAGGGACAGTAGGATATCAATTGATAAATCAGATTACGGACGTCTATCATATGGTAAACATAATATATAACAGAAAACGAAGCAATTAACAAAAGAAACATACTTGGCTTATCATTATTTACTTCAATTCGTAATAAATTGACAATCAACTCTAAATGACAATTCAATTCGATTGTTGTTAATAATAGACTGGTAACAAAACTCAATTGATTCATATTATGTGCAAATGATTTCCAAACGTGAATACAAAGAGGTATGAATTCAGAATTCATACAGTTTCTTATTGTCTGTAAAAATATACAGAGGGAAACAAAATACAACACTTATGGGAGCATAAAAGACAAAGTCAGTCAATTGTTTTTAAAGTGCACGGGGTTTGCAAAGTATGTTGAGTTTCATTATATAATATGTCACGAAATGACCTAAGTTAGACAACCATCGAAAAACAGAAAGCATTGGACAGCTGTTTCATTGTAGTACCAGACTAGTCAGTAATGTCTATTTACAACCCCCCTGAGAACATAACCGAATACTGCGAATCGATTGAAGTTAAAAACATAGACGACTTTGTCGTACAGGTTGAAAGCGCTTAGTGATAAACCCTGAGGCCCTGGGTTTGAGACCCGATAAGTTTGTGAATGGTCACTGATGACAGATTATAAACTACGACCAAGTAGACACCTAGGGACCCTGGTTTGATAACTCTTGGCTATTCTTGATGTAAAGAATATTGCCTGTAACGTATACGGCTTTAAGTTAGCCTGTTTAACTGGGGTTGTCTAATGGTACAATTTACCTTACCAAACTGAAATAGAGGAAGAAGAATTGGAGCTTGCAAATTATCGGTTGAAAGTCAAGCGTTTTAGCCAGTACCTCATGGGTTCCAAGCATTACTTCAATTGAATGTTAAAGACAATACTGTACACCAGTTTAAGTGATACCCAAACCAAATGATTCATTCAAATACAAGCTTGAAAGTAACACAGCGGATCTTGAAAAATTTATTCAAAACGAAATTAATCCACTATTAGTACAGTACCAACGCACAGTTTAACACCACAGTAAAACAAATTTGAAATTGAAGACTACCGGTGACATTTTATTCAATGTTGGTTTATAGCAACTAGCTGATTCCATAAACTAACTATTTTCCAATATATATACCCCGTTTGAGATGGATAGGGCATATAATGCGGAGGTCATCAAGCTGCATCACGAGGCAAGCGCTAATTTGGAATCGTGAAGGGAAACGGAAAATTGGGAGACAAAGGAATACATTGTGCCGAGAATCGGAAGCAGACAATAATAGAATGACTAGCAACTGAAGAGGATTGCTCAGGACAGAGTTCGATGGAGAGTCATGGTGGGCGACCTATGCTTCCTCCACGAGGGGTAACAGGCGTTATATATATATATATATATATATATATATATATATATATATATATATATATATATATATATATATATATATATATATATATATATATATATATATATAAAGTAAACATGGCAAAAGAAAATGGAAACAATAAAATTTGAAAAACTGTAATCACCTGACGAAAACCTTCATAATATTGAAATGGAATTACGTGTAATTCTTTATAAATAATGGATATTTGACCATTGCTACGTTCTTGCGTATCACATATTGAATAATGCAAAGGGGATGCCGATGATAATGAGAGAGATGATGATGATAAATTGCCAGCAGAAAATTGTTTATCATGATCTGCAATCATAGAACCACTGGCACTTGTGGCAGCATTGTTTTGGACTATATCAAAATCCATAGCTACTGGAAAGGGGCATTAAATATAAATGTATGAAGAAACAGATTATTACAACCAAATGTCAAAAATTTTAAGAACTGAGATACTGCTAACCGAATTGAATTACTTAAATGAATGTCTTCACGAAATACCGACTAGAAAAATGATTATTTTAAACTTTTTACTGTCTTGTGATGACGGGAAAGTTTGGTTCGTATACGTCGACAGTTTATATATAAACATTGTATTTGCAGCAATCCATACCTTGAAGTAAGCATTTCGTTGTATTGAAGTGTGTGTATAATATTTAGTTACGCTGTAAAACGAGAAATTCGGTTAGTGTAATTTACGCGACAAGTGTATGCACAGAGTTTCGAGTTGAATTTAATTTATCAGTTGGCAATCACTTAGTAATATAGGAAGCTAGTAGTTTGTTCAGACATACACTGTCTCATTATTCTGTGATGGTGGAAGATCTAAAGTAACATGATTTAAAATCGATTGAAGTGGAAATGTTTCCAAGTTCCCCTCCCTTCATATCTTGAGTTTTGATATTATGTTATCAATCCCCTTACAATTAGATGTGGTACGTTTCGTTTTCAAAACAAAATTCATATCATTTTCAGTACCCAATTTTTCAATTACTTCTTGATTTCCTCTTCCCCATTACTGATGTGAAATGGAGCGTTTAGAACTGATAAACTTAAAAGTATTTCAAAAAACTATAAATCATTGTTACGCTCCGTCCGTTATGTTGGTAGCATTTATTCAAGCCAGATGTTACTTGGGGAATTACTATTGAAAACCAAGAAGGATAAAACAGTCATTTTCTTCTTGCATGGTACCCGTTGGCAATGCACACATATGACACCACCAGAGACCCAACTCAGGATCTTCATATTTTAGTAGCTAGCACTTAACTCTTAGACTATTGAATTACTTTCCAGTGGCTCGTTCATACATCCAAATTCAATAAAATGGGGTTACAGTGTGACAAAAATGTGGTGTAATTGGTGATTCCTATCACAGCTAAACTTCACTAGCCACAAATTCCACTTGAACTAACCTCGAATAAACGAACTAGTTAGCATAATAGTTAGAAATTAAATCAATATTCAAGAAACATCTCAACAGCAATACAATACTAATTCTATACATTTTAATTCTACTTGATAGAATTTTCAATATTGTTACTACGGCAGTCTCAATTTATCTTTTGTTAATAGACCGTTGAAAAGAACAAACTAGCTTCCAACTGAAGAGGAAATTAAGAAAAGATGCTGGAATTGGATAGGACATACAGTGAGGGAATTATAAAACTGCATCACGAAGCAAGTGCTAACTGAGAATTCTGAAGGAAAAGCTTAAGACCAAAGAATATATTGCGTTGGAAACTGGACATTTAAAGGACAAATGATACTAGAAAGGAGAGCCCAGGACAGAGATGGTTGGAGAATACTGGTCGGTAGCTAATGCTCCACGAGCAGTAAGAGTTGTAAATAAGTAATTATGTAAAACAATCACAAGTGATCATTATCGTTAAATTGAAACGTCAACCTACGTGAACGTTTACGTTTATCTTCTTTCATGAAAACTTCAATCTTTTTGAAACCAAATGGGAATTCACTAGAAAAAAATAATGAATGAGAACGATTAAAAAATGCTCTTTAAATTGTACTTATCATTTGAATGTTTTCTGTAATGTAACTATTTACAGAAACTCACAAATAATAAACTTTTGAATGATGAAAAATCTGCTTTAGTGGGAAAATGTTATTTTTCGCGTTCCCAGGCTATAAGACGATCTTAAGATAATACTACGACTCCATTGACTAGAATATAGACTGGATCACATTATATCCAGATTCAAGATTTACGAACATTAATTGAGAATCAAATAATGGACCAGACAATAGTTTATTCAACGTCAATACTAGTAATTCATACACGATAAAACCCACAGTGGAAGTGAATAGTAGAAACCAGTTCATGATATTGAATGGTATTCCATAGATTTATCAAAACTGATTGTCTGTTCGTCTTTGCTTACTGGTCAATCACATTTCACGTCCACTGGTTACACATAAAAAAACACCACGACATGATATATGAATCAAATAATAATTATCATACTGTCATTGTCACATAATAATCTTTCAAACAGGATCTATAACAAAGGTCCTAAGAAGAGTTTATCGATTCATAGAATAAATCATATAGAGAATGAGACGATAATTTAGTCAGTCATAAGCAGCATTGGTAAAGTTGTGAGTTGGTCCAAGTTTTAATAATATGTTAGCGGGACAAGAAGTTAGCAAGACGAATGACGAAAGAATCGAAATGATGTAGTGACAATTATGGCAAGAAAGCACTGAAAATTTAGCTTGAAAAGAGTAAAAGAAAAGATTATTTGAAGAAATATCACAGGTTAATATTTTAGAAGATAAAGAGCAAGTGTACCTCTGCGTCCATGTGATCAATCATGAACTATCTCACTCAACATTTCGAACTACTAATCGTGCTTAAAGATAATAAATGAAAATTAATTTACATTAATGTGAATTGTGTAAAACTAGAAATGAGGCAGATTGAAAATTTCAACTCAATGGCTGCGAATTGTTGTAGTCAATAAGAAACCCAAATGTTGTGGGCACATGAACGAGTAATGCTGTCGTGTTTCAAACAAGGATTATGTAATAGATTAAGTTCAGTTTGTGTTATTTCATAAAGAAAATTATCTTGAAAAAAGTTCTTTTACATAACCATTGAGAGATCGGCGAACATAAGCATCTACAGTATTATTCGGTTGAGCAACAAATATGTACACTGTTTACAGAGGAGAAAACACTCGTATTCAACAATGAAAGCAACTAAATGTTACCGCTGATGCAAATACGGAACATGATATAATATTTGGGTAATATAGAAAATTGCTTTGAAATAGTTATTTTTCAATTCAGTGTTTGATTTCCTAAACTAATTTTACCTATAAAGCCAATGTTTGTAGAAAAGAGATGGAATAAATGTGTAGTGTACCACTAAGTTATTATTACAAAAATGAATAGGCATTCTCTAAGAATGTCACTGACTGACCGTAAGGTCATAAGACCACTATGGCTAAACATAATGCACTTACGATACGACCTGAAGATTTGCGATTCCAATCACCAGTGGGGATTATGGGTGGATATTGGATAAGGAATTCCAAACTAGAGAGAATCAGCTATCTAGCGCTCGCTAGTTGTTTGTTAATGGTTTATCAGGTGGAGTCAATCTGAAGCCAGATGAACTATCTCAAGATTTAATTGGTCTTCACAATCAAATGAACGGAAACAGATCTTTTTATTCAGGCTATTATCAAGTTCGTCATTACTAAGCTATAAAGCTTAGCTTTGACACGATAAACATTTTATATCATATTGTCACAATTCTTGTCTAAGCTTTTACAAACAGTAAACCAACCATTGATGGTAGACTTGTACTGTAGAGTTATATTTCATTCGGACTTGAGGAGGAAATTCACAGTAGAATGAACCACATCAAATTCAACGTTATTTGTAAGAGAGGCCGAGACAATCAATCACAGACAGAATCGAAACAAATATCTAGAAATACAAACCTTCGTATATATAGTATTAATGTATTATAGATAAGTGTAATACAGAGAAAGGAAGTTTATTATTGATTAGGCAGCGCAGATCCAACGATCAGCTCAGAGGACACAATAATTCCAACATGCTCCAACATGAGCTACAAATATTCTACATCATCTTAATATGAAGAAATTAGTCCAATAGAAATATCCTGAAACATGATTCTGACAAAAAGTCAGCCTTGCTATTACTACGGACGACCAACCATACTTTAGTTACTTATTAACGCGATTGTTATTAATAATGGCGATGATGCATCATATATAGGTCATATTAATTTCGTACCATTCTACTTTCCCTAACCTAATCCATACAACTGTGACATATAAAAGATAGTTACGAAATATAGCTGAGCGGATAAACTATGGGTGAAAAAAAGGTCGGCAATAAGTCAACTTAGAGCACGAATCTTTAAGTGAGCTTAAATTTAGTTCAACAGGACAATGAATAAGATAAGTGGACAAACACATGCATACTAACAAATTCATAAACACAGAAAATTTACATAGATGAAAGGTCAATTGTATCTATGAATACATATGATATAACCAATAAGATTACGATGATCAATAGAAACGGTTATATCAGTATTCGATTATATATCAGTCCACATAAGAGCTTGTAATAATCTACCCAGTGAATTCACGATATGACTGTAAATTTAACTTTGTTAACACCACAAGTGCATTGAATTGTTACACTACCATTAACACCGTAAACCAAATTAGATAACCGCATTTTTTAAAACAAACTAATAACTCCATCAATATTTACCAACAAATCGAGTAAATGTAGAAAGGAAAGTTTATAACTTACTCTAAAAAAATAGAAACGACAGAAGACCCGGAGTAGGCACGTCCAATTTCAAATCCATCTAAATTTACGGAGTAAACTGATTCATCTCGACGAGATTTCGATGATGACGTTGGCATTAATTTAGCATTAGTGAACTAAAAGAACAAATGTGGAATCGAATAAACAGACGAACAGCAACTGAAAAGTTTATAAATGAAATATAAAGTAACTATTTATTCATTGAAAAAGTGAAAGGTGTCAAATAAGAACACTGAAAAGATGATTAATATAAATGAAGGCAGATTGTTAAGTTGTCTAACGTTCAACTAAATACATGCTTAATACACGTTTTTGTTCAGAACGCTAGGAATAGTGACATGTAAAGTTCTTATTGAAATTAAATTTTTCGCAAAATCTTTATCCCTTTCTGACCGGTCGTAACTACTTTTAATTTGCTAATCTTCAGTATGCTTGAAGATTATGCTTTCGTTAACATATTTTCTGAGTTATACCATTTATATTTGTTGTTGGTTGAACATTAGGTTTTTCCAGTGTCAGCGGCTAATTGTTGAATCATCGTCTACCGTTTGCCGTCATCGAGTCCACAACATAACCGTTCATAAAAGAATAGCTCAATCATTTCTTAATTATCAAATACCACAGGTCAACTGCAAACCCCAATAAACATAATCGCTGTTGTCATGACTTAAGCATAAGATATATCTTTAAAGAGAAAAAATTACCAGCTAGTGTTTGGCAATCTGTTCTAAATATTACATGTGTAAATGAATAGAAAACGTTTCGAATAAGTTTCAAAAGACTGGTATTGTATTGTTTTCTATGACTGACATATTGTACAGAACTGAAATTTCACATTTAGGAAATAATTGCGTAATTACCACAATCTGATGGTTATTGGTTGTCACACACAAGTGATGATTACTTACGTGGCAATCGTATTCCTGTTTTTCAATGGCGGTTCAGCTAAGATCAGTGAGTGATTTACATTATGAAGACTGCATCATTGTATGCAACAAGTATGTTTTATGAATAGAAATCGATTTGACAGGAAACATTTAGATATTATAGACAGGTTATAAATTATAGTGGTTGATGCGTATCTGTTATATAATACTGTGGTGTATGTAGTATGTAACATCAATCAGAAGTGGAAGGCCTGGCAGCAGAAGGTTGAAATGAAGAGGAGAGAAAAGGAAACTGAAAGCAACCAAGATAACAACAGGAATGAAAGGACAATCAAGCTTGTAAAAGACAATTTGGGGATGTGAAAATGGTGTATATGATGTACGATTTTCAGATTTTACTAAACCACTGTGTGATTCTACATTAAACAATGAACTGGCTTTCTTCGCTTGAGTTGTAGTGAACGAGAACACAATCGTTCGAATGTATTTGAACACAAAATTACAGAATTTTTTAGTAAAATCTGAGAATCATACAGTAAATACTTAACTTGCAAAATGTCAACCAATTGTCTCAAACTTGACTGTTCCTTTTGCAAATGTCAATCAATCGTCTCAGACTTCACTATTCTTTCACTTTCATACCAATTGCTTTCTATCCCCGTTCTTTCCTTCTCTATCTTCTCGACCATCTGCTGCCAGACATTAAATCCCTGAGTATCGTTATACATTACTTATGTCGATATAAGTAGCACACACCAGAGTGTTTGTTCATTACAGTGCTGTTTTAGAACAAAAGAATTTTGGTACCACTACACTAAACAGTTGTTTAAAATACACAATGGATCACGAAATAGTTGTCTTATCTGTCCATAAAGAGAGGTCTATTAGTCACCGATTTATGACGAAGCAGAATGCATAAAACCAATTAACCAGCAAATGCATGAAATATCATATATGATTATGTTTAGTTTTGTGTAAAATAAAATGTGGGTAGTGAAACCAAGATATGATTGGCCAGTGAGATATGACGAACAGACAATCAGTTTTGATAAATCTATGAAATACCATTCAATATCATGAACTGGTTTCTACTATTCACTTCCACTGTGGGTTTTATCGTGTATGAATTACTAGTATTGACGTTGAATAAACTATTGTCTGGTCCATTATTTGATTCTCAATTAATGTTCGTAAATCTTGTATCTGGATATAATGTGATCATAGCTAGTGTCTAATAATCTTTCATCTAGTATATCATATCGAGCATCGTGGGGTAGAGCCCCAGCATAGTATTTTCATATAGTGAATATTGAGGAGTTACAATAAATACTTTCTATCCATTTTTTATAAAAGTAAATAACTGAAAATGTATACTGTACTGACTACTCTGAGCAACTTATCAGCCAGTCAGGAAACACTACCCACTCATCAAGTGATTGACAATAAAAAATCAATAAAACCGTAGTAAAATAATGGGTTTATTACTATTTCTTACATTTTTAATTATTAATGATAGCGAAAAGGTTAAATTAACATATAAAAAGTTGGGCTAGTGTTGTGAGTTTTGGTGATTATACTATAGGATTTTCACTCTTAATTGACATAAGCTATAACGGAAAACAGTTGGGGTTAGGTATTAGGAGTTAAACAAAAGCTACATATTAGGGTTACCAATTAGAATTAGGATTTCCATCACAAAGTGACACAAGTTATAAAGCAATAATGATTTGTCACCCTTCTGTTTACAGACTTAAGAAACTTAGAACTGAGATATAGAGTCACAAGTTACAGTGCGAGAAAGTCGCTATACAAACATCTTTGGCTATGAACTGAATCAAATTAAGGACTCGGATACATCAAAAGCAGACATCTCTTGTGATTTACCGCAAGCAGCACTTCATATTCACTATTTGGTTGCTTAGTAGATAGTTTTTTAAGAACCAAGTATTGTCAATTTTCACTTAGTTAGTAACAACCTACAAGCTGTCTTGTAATGCACTTTTAATTTCACGCAAGAATCTACGATGCGCTATCTTGATTCTGATTATTTCATTTAAGGCCGTTAGTATTATTATTTATTTATTTATTTAAACACATATATATTGGTACAAAAGGGCACCAGGTACATATGCGCCACACAAAATAATGAAAGTAGGAAGAGAAGGGATGAAAAGATAAGGCGGACTAAAATGTACAACCAGAAGACTCTTTCAAATAGGAAAGTAAGAACCATACTTTATGTAGAAAGTAAAAGAAGGTTGCAGCAGGATCGCCACTGGTTTCTATTCTGAGCCATATCTGATAACGTCTCTAGCCACTGTGTTGCACCATCTCTCGGACCCCAACCAAGGAGTCGTGAAGGACCAACAGAAGCTAGCCCTTTGCAGCTCTCTTTCATGCCACGACACCATGTCATACACTGACCTCCTCTCCGCTTTCTCCAACCAGTCCCAGGGTCGGCAAATAATGCACGACGTGGAAGTCTCTGGGACGACATTCGTAAAACATGTCCAAGCCACCGAAGTCGGTGTTTCAAGATGGTGACACCAATTGAATTATCGTCTCTGTGCCCGAACACACGATGCTGAACCTCTGCATTACTAACATGGTGTTGCCACTGGATGTCAGCAATCCTTCGGAGACAACGATGATCGAACACAGAGAGACGTCTAACATCCTCAACTCGGAGAGGCCAGGTTTCACAAGCATAGAGCAAAACTGCTCTCACCGACGCGTTGTAAATCCGACTTTTTACAGCCAGACTAACATCACGAAGGCGCCAAAGATGGCCCAGATTGGCATAAGCCGATCTGGCTTTCATTATACGTGCATCAATCTCATCACTCACGCCACCACCAGCACTTATATAGCTACCTAGATACACGAACTTCTCAACTACTTCGATCTGCTCACCATCCAGGGTGAGTACAGGATTAGAATCCTGCCAGTCTTGTAGGAGTACTTTGCACTTGGAGGGTGCAAAGCACATACCGTACCTGCGGACACTGATTGCCAACTGATTAAGTGCTGATTGCATGCCTTGGGCATTATCGCACAGTAAGACAATATCATCCGCATACTCAAGGTGGAGAAGTCGTTCTCCAGGCAACATATCCACACCGCCATTACTTACATCCATCAGAGCTGTTTCCAAGATGTCGTCGATGGCAAAGTTGAAGAGGAATGGTGAGATCGGGCAACCCTGCCTAACCCCACTGCTCGAATGGAACAAGGGAGAAAGGTGGTTGTATGCCCTCACTCTGCCTGAGGTGTTCGTGTACAGGGCCTTTAAGATGTTAATGAACTTCTCAGGCACACCCTTCTTCAATAGACAATCCCAGAGAACAGTTCTGTCCAACGAATCGAAGGCAGCCCTGATATCAAGAAACACTACGATTGTTGGCCTGCAATAAGTATGACGGCCGTTAGTATGGTATACTTTTACCGAAATAACCTGACTCTGATCAGGTGACTTTCGATGTTAATTGCTTTAATGGATTTTATGTTAGCAATCAACATAAATTTATATCAATGCATCCTGAATATTCATAGTTAAATAAATAATCAAAAATGAACACAACTAATTTACTAAGCATAGATACCTGAACATGCCTTTCAACTATGCTGTTTAGGTGTTTGGGTGGGTCATGTAACTATTTGGTTATCTAGAACCGAAATGGGTTAAGAGGAGCTTGAGAAGAAAAGTAGGTGATTGAAAACCAACAGTTTCAATCAGCAAGTCATCTCCACTCAGGACTAATCAATGCATGATTCATAGCCATAACCATACATCATGCTACTATGCTTTCACAAGGTCAGAAGATCACTTAATTTTAATGGAAAGGAAATTACCTAAAACTGGACAATTATTTATCATACATACTTACTATATGAATAAAAATACTAAGCATAATAAATAGTTATTCATTATTCATAAGACAGAGGGAAACAAATTACCTTGATCTCAAGGTTGCGATAACATCTTAAGTGTGTTTGCCTAAGTGATACATTGTCTTCAGTTGCTGAATCGGCTTTTGTATTACGACAGTGTCGTTTCAAACTCGTCACCCATCTTTGGTATACAATATCCCAAGTGGCCGGTGGCAAATCACAATTACCAAGACAGTTAATATTATTTTCTGACGAATTGGACACGTTCGGATTAGTTGATGAGGATGATAACAAAGATTTATTATCTACAGAGGTTAAATTTGAACGAACAGCCCAGTCACATGCAAAACGACAGCCTAAATAAATATTTTCAATATACAAACATTAGATATAACTTGTTTAAATCAATCACGTATATATTCATCTGTAACTTTATACATAAGACAAAAATGAAGGAATTGGGATTCATTACAGATCACAGATTAACAAGTATGGATGATACTAAAATTTGAAATCCTAAGTATTTATTCTGAATATAAACACTTTTAATAACAGTCGATATTAACAATTACAACATAGACAAGTTATTTCAAACTCAAGGGAAATGCAAATGAATAAACCAAGCTCAAAGCATTGAGATATATCCTCTAAGAAGATAAGATCTACTGAAACTCATTAGATTTGATTTTATGTATTTATGTATGTGAATTCTAGAGGATTGTAAGTTCGAATCCAGGTGGTATGTCCAGTCACTTATAAAACGTCCATTCATATGACACTTGTGGATTACTGAGGAAAGTCGGTAAGGTAATATCCCTCATGGAGTAACGTGTGCGAGAACATTTGTGATTTAAAAGATTCATAATTCACGTATGAACAACTGAATAACAAAGTAAATATGAATATAATTGAAAGTTATTTATCTTCTCAACAAGACAGTGAAAAAGTTTTAAATAAGTGAACCAACTACTTTAGAATACAAATTGGTTGGAACTCGTGGTATACTGTCACAATAGGATAGTTAGTAAAGAACAATTTTAGTCGATAAAAGTGACAAACACCTGATCAGGTCTTGATCATGTTAACTATAGTAAACTACAACGATAATAAAATTGTCATGACAATACATCATTACCCTGCTTGATTTGAATGGATATGATGAAGTGATAAACTTTAACCGTCTTACACGATCTGTTTGCAAATGACGATCATTTAGATCATTGCCAATATAAAGTTTCAAAAATTGAGGTTTTTTCCGAGAAATATAAATAAAATCCCAAATTCGCTGAAGAGGTTTAGTGGAGGTTATTCAATTTGCAAACATCACTGATCACAGATTGACCTCAATTAGCGTACTATTAAAAAGGGAGCTATATATAGCTATTTTGTCATAGTATAGAACTCCTCAGTAGTGCATACTTACGACCTAATATGGGATTGAACCCATGATTTTCGGGTTTTGCAGTCAGTGATTAGTCATTAAGATGCCTGTGTCTGGAATCCTCTGTACACATTCTGAACTTTCAAAGAAACTCGTTTCTCTAGTAGCAGTGAGAAGAGTTGAGCGGTTGAGATCAAATCTATCGGTGACGACACAGTTGTCACTAATGATATTAAGTGTTGGTCACTGGAGGTCGTTTCGGTTGTTCAAGAGATAAGATTTTGGTACGAGGACTCAAGATCTTGAGTCCAACCACTGAAGAGGTCATGGGTATACACCGGGTTCCGTACAAGAATGATACAGCTGTTCAATACTACTCAGTTTCCAACGGGAATATAACTGATATATATATATATATATATATATATATATATATATATATAACTTACATGAGTGTGATAAATTTTGAAGTGTGTACGGTGGTTCTTCAGAACGACCAGAATACGAATTAACATCTAAATCGTAAGTATTGAATAAATTAACTCGGCTAGGTATTGTTGAACCGTTAACATTTGAGTGAAATTTATTTGATGAACATGGAGCTTCTACACGTAAAACATATTCTTCTCGATCTCCAGCTGAAGCACCATATAAAACTAGACCAAAGCAATAATTTTTTCTGAAAAACAAACAAAATATAAAAGAAAAAACAATAAGGAACTTACATATACTTTATGGATTGATTTGAGCTATATAACTATTGAAAAAGAAACAATAGAACCCATGTAGACCAATAAGCGTTAAGATACTGGATATTTATAGCCGGTTATTTAGGGCATTAGTCAAGAGGTCATAAGCATGATTGAGTATAAGATAGATCTCATTATCAATAAACATTATAATCGATTAATCCTAGAAAGTAAGCATAGAATAAGATTGGATTTCTAATACACTAGAAATATAGGTTATTACATTATCTAACATATTTGTATCATTAGCAATGGTAATTAATTAAATTTACATAAGCTTTTTTTTCGCCAATTATCAAAATGCAGAAAATCTTGACTCGTTTATATAAAATGAACAGTGAAACGTGATAAAAAAGAAGCAAGAAAGATTAGTTATTAGATTTACATCCTTATACAATACTGAATACTAAACTCAGTTTTAATAAATAGTTACATAGCAAAACATCTAGCAAAAAAATCATTTTAAGCTGTATGAAAAGGTATTAGATACTACAGAAAAATGACATTGATCCATTATCCCAACATCGAAATTCATTCCGCAGATGGTTAGTGGAAGAAGTATACACTCCAGTAATTTTGGATTATGAAGGAAACTTTTGGAAGACGGATATATATGGATATAGGAAAAAATGGTTTACAGTGTCTGTTAGCTGTTTTGATTTTTGTGAAACAGATATCCAGTTTTCCCTGGTTTTCATTGACTGTTTGACTACGATTAATTCGTGATGCTAAGCACGAAATTTGAAAAAGTTCTCTGTAAACCCTTTTGTGGTAACAGTAATATGATAAAAATCGCTCTTGTTCGTTTGATTTTGAATTGACTCTCAAATAAGTGTTCACCATGAAAAATAATTGACAGAATAACGACCGTTCTCAACAATAACTGTTTACTTTAAAATCATGATTGTACTCTGCAATCATTGCTTGTGTGCTAGATGCTTATATAGCATAAACCTTATATTATGCGATTAAACTGATTCGTACATTTCTTCACCTCGTTAACTAAAATAGCATTACCAAGCAACTGATTGATCACTGAGTAGTGACCAATGTAATTTTTGTCTAGTCCTCTAGTGTTGATAGAATGCTAGCGTGTCTACACATCTAAGTGACTCGACATTGCATCCACTCTGTCAAGATTTTGGTTGGTTAGAAGTATTTGGAAGGCTACCCTGGACCTAGCCTTCGCAATGAATGGCACTCATCAGCAAACACTGCCTACAATTTTTGGGGGACTAATGCTCCTAGAGTGATTCAAGCCCACATTACTAATATATTCACAACTTAAAATAACTCACTCTTACAGAATATAAGTAACAACTCGAATAGCTTAGCAGCCATGTTTCGGAATGTGAAGCCAGGAGACACGTGTTTCAATCTATTACTTCCGCCGAAACTGCAGAAACGCCTTGTTGCCGAATAACAGCTAGTACGAAACCTAATAACACGATCTTCTTCCTAATACCTGAGGTCACATAAGACATTATTGTCAAGTGAACATGATATCTAAACAGTTAAAACAATCAGTTTCCAACCACTAAGTTGTAAGTCCGAGCACCACATTCTTTCTGTTCGTTCGAATTCCGGCATTGAAAAGGGATTTCATAAGCTGTTGAACAAAATGTGACTTGAAAGCTTAATTATCCTACTTTTAGTAACAAAAAAGGGTGTCATATAAAAATTATTGTCAGAAAAAATTCATGATGCAATCCAGGAATCCATCAACGATCATACGTATATGTAAACAGTAAACTCAAAAAAAAAACGTATTTTAGGATAACTCATTCATTTAGAAAATGTATAATGTAAAGCGTATTAAATACTATAGAACTTAAGTTACGTGACCAACTTAAAGCTCAATCACAATTTAACCTATTTAACGGAAATAAAGGTATTTACTATTAAGTGATAGATAGTAATTTACTCATTCTAACATTTTATTGCATCAGTACATTAATTTCGGTAATAAAGCATTACAGTTAATCCATATTTTACTAATCTAAATCACTAGTTGAAATAACAAAAACATTTAGACAATCATGAAACACAAAACTAATGACAAGAAATGGAGCTTAAGAAATGTATATAACTAACTTTTAACTGTTTCATCAATGAAGTCATTAATGAAAATTGATCTATTAATAAGAAGGTTCGTGGAGATAGATGAATTCGGTAGTTTATTATCATGAACTGACCTTCGTTGACTAAAACTAGAAATCCAAATCAATATTTGCAAACTCAGTGGTCTTGAGGTTAGCGTTCATCTCAATATCTGAAGGTCCTGGGTTTGATTCCCTGTGGAAAGACTATGGATACGCACTTCCAAGTACCATATTAGGACGAAAAAGAGCGCCTAGTGTTTACAGGTTTTCAGTGTTAAGATAACCAAGATCAGTTGGTGATATAAAGTCAATGAAAATAGAAATGATAAAATTTAATACTTACTCATATACAGTATAATGGATGGGAAAAAAATCACATTTAGAAAGATCAAATCGTTCAGGTTTACGCTTTTCTCCATCAATCAATGTTAGTATACTTTGTTTTCTATCTAAATGTGCATAACATAATTTCCATTTCTTTCTTTGTTGTAACCCTAGTCAGTTGAAAAAGTGATTAGATAAATTAAAATAATAATAAATATTAAATATAAGGACATTTTTGACACATTTAGATATTATAGAGTTGAGATCATGAGTTAATTGAAGCTAGACCACCATGAAAAACCTGGAAACACTGAACGGCCGTTTCGTCCTATTATGGGACTCCTCAGTAGTGAGCATCCACGATCCCCCCCTCGCGAGTGATATTCGAACTCAGAACCTATCAGTCTCGCGTCAGAGCACTTAACCTCCAGACCACTGAGCCGGCCGGCGTCCAACGGTGTTAATGCCTAACTTCAACCGATCCACGAAATTGAGCAACCATTCACCAATGTCATCAGTGGGTTCATATCTCACAACAGACCCGGTTGAACTCCACTGGTCACTGCTTCTCATTAGAACTCCAATAAATATATCTTGAAGCCAGTCACTAGTGAGCATACGATTATTATCAGAAGGGGGTTTCGTGGAGATTTTAGTAATTGTATAGTTGAGATCATGAGTCAATTGAAGCTAGACCATCATCGAAAACCTGGAAGCACTAGACGGCCGTTTCGTCCTATTATGGGACTCCTCAGCAGTGCGCATCCACGATCCCCCCCTCGCGAGCGAGATTCGAACTCAGAACCTACCAGTCTCGCGCCAGAGCAGATATTTTAATATTTATAGTGAATAAGAGACGTGATAGATAAAATAACTGATGAATAATAATAATTGTTAGGAACAATGAGTATTTAATAAAAGCTGTTTAATGTACTCTAGGAATAATGATTACGCTAAAAATATTACATCATCATGTTGAAATCCATAAGGCTGATAGTAATGAGTGATGTACAAAAAACTACGTAACACTTAAAGATTTCTAAGTAATACAGAATGTTAAATTACGGAAAGCTATGCTGGTATTGTAAAAAGAAACTAGAAACTCCATGTGATCATAAAAGTAACTATTTACCACTGACGTCGGACAATTCCTACTAATGAAATACAGAATATATGTCTCAAAGCATATAAATTTCAGCAGTTTTTACAAAGTTGTTTTTTTTAGATTTCAAGAATTAGTACTCATTCATCAATAAAACTTTGGGAAGCACTGAACAACAAATTATTCGATTAACTAATTCATCTACATTGAAATGTTCGAATTTATGTTAAAGTAAATGAAAACATTAGTATTAATCACCAACTCAATTAACTTCACCTAGAACATATCTGGAGCTACTGTCAGTCCTAATAGTAGGAAAAGAAGGATTAGGTGATGGAGTTAGCGACTGCACATTGTCAAAATGAACTCAGTTACACAATCGCTAACTAGGGAACACCAACTCAACTATGACCTGGGAGTTGAAAGGTCTTCAAATACAATAGTTATGATGCTTCAGGGTGACAGCCGAGACACAAGGCCAACGCTCATTCTAACAACCAGATCAACAATTACTATAGGTACATGGAATGTCCTAACAACGCGGGAGGCTGGAAGAACCAGTCAAATATCTGTGAAAAAAGAAAGATACAACTTGGCAGTTCCCAGAATGAGTGAAATTTATTGGACGTAAGATGGACAGAAAAGATTGGCTTTGGAAGAGTTGCTGTTGAACTCTGGTCATGAAGAAGAAAATCACTCACACATATAAGAAGTTTCACTGATACCCTTCCAGTGATGCACAAAAGGCATTTGTGGGGTGGGGGACTCATGGATTCAGGATCATCAAAGCATCCTTCAAAATAATGAAGGGAAAGATTAAAATGAACATCATTCAGCTTTATGCACCCAGTAATAATTGAAGTGAAAACAATAAAGACCAGTTTTATGAAAGGTCGTAATCCATCACAGAGAACTAGCCAGAAAAGATCTAACAATTCTAATGCAGGACCTAAACACGAAGTTCAGGATGGACAACACCAGGTACGGAAGTATCATGAGATTGCATGAAGTGGGGGAAATAAATGAGAATGGTGAGAGATTTGCAAATTTGTGTGGTTATAGTATGGTTATAAGTGGGATTATCTCCTCCCCTCCCATAAATGCAAACACGCTACATGGATTTCACTAGACCATATAAAAGAAAAAAAGATAAACACATATGAAAAAATAAAAAGTTCAGAAGATTCATAAATAACGTTAGAATGGGGTGTCCGATTCGTCTTCGCTAACTGGTCAACTGTACTGTACTTTCATTAGACATAGATCAAGTACATTGATAGTAAGCGAACTACATGTTGTTCTAAACTCAATAGATACAACAAGATGTTAATAATTCATTTCTAAGCTGTTTCATCCAAATACTTGTAGGTTGTTCGAATAATCCAATAAAACTTAAAAGCATTATTTAAATGCTATCAACAGAAAATATCAACTTACAAATAGACAATTCCCCATGAATTTCAGTCACCGATTGATGGGATGTTGGTGGTTGACGTGCATAACACATATCCATATAAATAGTAGACGGGGGAAGATGTACTTGAGGCTTTCAATTTATAAAAACAAAGAAATGTAAAATTAGATCCGAATATAGACATCCAAAATAAGAGTAACACAGTTACAATATCATGATACTACTCAATGTTGGTTGATTAACAAGGCAGAATTGACAGGTTTTAGTGGAAATACTGACCTGTTCAGGTGTTTCACAGATTGGCATGTTCCATTATCATCAAATTCTTAGCCATGAGAGTGGTAAATTTTACACAATGTCCGCGAAATTTTACAGCTTACATCACAAAATGATTTTCGCTAGACAACCAATGTAAACTAGAAGATACCGGATGAAGATTTTAGTGCGCTTATTTGGGCCTCTAGAAACTTTGTTGAGGGGTATATATGTGGACTCTTAACAAAATGATTCATTAACTTTAAAAAATACTAAAGTATTTCATACATTACACTTCTAAAGAAAAAATGACTTTAAAAACCCTTTCAATATAAATACGATGTAGTAACACTCCTACAATTAATTTTGATTACGGTTAATTTTGTCAAGCCCTTTAATTAACTCATTTAACAGACTGTTATTTGGGCAGTAACTATTTATTTATTTGTATTATTATGATCACTATCATGTCCGTATAAACGTGTACGCTTGATCACATGTGGCAGCCTACGTAGATAATCCTTATTCTAATTTAAATGTTGATCCCTTAAATATCGCTCGATGGATCATCCTCTTAACCATATATATATATAAAACTGCTTTGCCTTGCCTCACTTCGTCTTGATTCGATTGGACTCTCAATATCCCTTTATATTCGCTTGTTCGCACGCATCAGCCTTTATGTTCAAATTCGCTCAACGTGCTTGTCATTTTTTTTATCTGTCCTATCCAATAATAAACTGTAGTCGGCGGTTCGTGTTACCTTCTAAATTCATACACCGTTGGGATTTATTTCATAGCGGTTATCAGAGTGATTAATAAACGACGCCTAACAAATTATCTCTACGTCAGGCTACTACAACCTAAACACCATAATGACAATCGAATATTGAGCAAGTATATAGCATAATTCTATTTAATAATAAAAAAAAACCTACTTTACGCTTCCTGCAGAGAGGTTTAAATACATGTTGAATTGGTGTACTAATATTTGAACTGTCTACTGATGAAATATCATTTGTAGGATTAACATTAGTCTCATCATTAATTGGACAATTATATCCATCATCAGAAATATTTAAAGTGTTCAATTCTTCAGTATGATAAAGATCCCAATGATGTGATTCAATAGCTGTAATTACAGCTTCAACATTAGGAAAAGTTGTACCGCTATACAGTATTTTAGTAGTTGTACGATAAAGAGGAGATTGAAAATTTCTATTAAAATCTACAAATTCACTTGTACTATGATTATCTTCTAGATTTTTATTGGTTAATAATATTTGGTTTGATTTCCTACGAGATTCATCTGATTTATCATCTTCATTGTTACTACTATATGATAATGATCCAGTATTGAATTCATTTGTATGTTCATCTAACAGTTCACTATTTCTATGACCGAGATTACTATCATGATTGGTTTTTTTGGTCGGTGTAACATCATCTTGAAGTATAAGCTCTGATTGAACAATTAATTCAAGTCGACATTTACGAACACGTACTCCATCGTATAAGAGTAATGTATACAGGCCAGGACGTGAATCACAAGGGCGTAATAAATAGCTAAATGGACCAGCTGTCGAAAGAAAATGTAATACATAAAGTTACAATGTTTAGTCTTGATAAAATGATACTACATAATCAAGAAACAGAGATGTCACCTTCATAAAAGACTCAGAATAAAACTCTAGTGATATTCATCTGCCTGTCCAAACAAAATTAAATGGAATAAGGTTTGAACCAAAGTGAAAAACATTTAGAATTTTTTCCACTAATGAATATACCTATATGATAAATTAAGACTAGCGATTCTTATTTTACATTCCCTGTGCAAATAGTTCTTGTTTGAACAGGTCTAATAACTAAGCGTCGTTCTTAATTCTATCAACCAAATGTACTCATTCCTGGATGGTTAATTAATAACGTTGTATGCTTGTGTATACCGGGATATACGTATGGAGTACTGATATTGTGTAAAATCTATGGACATAAATAAACTGAGATTGTTTAGCGATTTCGAGGACATATCAGCTTACTAGTTCATCGATTTACGCTCATTGTCGATCTCCATATACCAATATATGAAATACATGTATCTGAACGACTTTTTCATACTCGATGTTTACAATTCTGATGTTATTATTAACCAGATCAGTATAGAGAATAGTAAACGAAGTTATAATATGGATTTCATATTTCTCAAAAGTCATTGATGGCTACAAGACAACTAATCTCTATAAATGTAGGTTACAGGATGTAAGAGTAACGAATTGAAGACATTGAATTCTGCCCAATATGTTCAAAAATTATGTTTCATAGTTATGAAGTAATACAGAGCAATTTTGCTAGTAGCCCTTCTAGGGTTACTGCCGTTGTCCCAAACCCAGATAAAAGAGGAGGGTTGGACATGGGACCAGAGACCCATCTCACAGAAAACAACCTTGCCAACCAGATTAAACAAATTAAACCATTTCAACTCTTTACTCCGAATTGAAGGATCTTCATTCAGAAGAGTTATAACTCCTCATACTGAGAGCCGACATTCTTCGGGGGTCACGAAGCCGATGCCCATCTTAACAACCACACCAACAATTATTATAAGTATATGGAATGTTCGGACGATGTGCGACACCGGGAGGACCAATCAAATAGCTAAGGAAATGAGGAGATACAACTTGACGGTTCTCGGAGTCAGTGTAACCCATTGGACACAAACTGGACAGAAAAATAAAATATTCAAGAGAGACGCTGCTCCGGTCACCAACAGGAAAATGCTCCACACACTCAGGAGTTGCCCTAATGCACTTATTGGGTGGGTATCTCATAGATCCAGAATCATCAAAGCATCTTTCAAAACAAAGAAGGAGGGGATCACAATGAATGTTATTCAATTTTATGCACCCATCAATGATAGCAACGACTACAATAAAGATCAGTTCTATGAGAGGCTGCAATCGATCATAGTAAAGCACCCAAGAAAAAACCTCACCATCCTGATGGGAGACCTAAGCGCCAAAGTCATAATGGACAACGTTGGGTATCAAGATATCGTTCGACGACATGGATTTACTAGGAGAAAGGAACAAGAATAGTGACAGATTTGTAAATTTATGTGCATTCAACAAATTGGTTAAAGGCGACACAATATTCCTACACAGACGCATACACAAAGCTACATAGGTCGCACACTACACAGAATCCGATCGATTATGTTTGCATCACTAAAAAATTCAGAAGGTCAATGGAAGAAGTGAGAACTAGGAGAGGAGTTGACACGGCTTCAGATCACCTGGTGGTTGCCAATACGAAACTGAAATCAAGGAAGCGCTGAACAACTGGAGAAACAGCATTACAAAGGTTCAATACAGTCTTTCTTCGAGATACTGACAAACTCAACCAATTCATGATAGCTCTCAACAACAAATCCCAAACCCTACACGTTCTACTCAAAGATGAAACTACTTTGGAGGACAATTGGAAAGGCATCAAACACTAACTTCAACGTTTCAGGAGGTTCAAAGCTTCAAGAAGCATCTTCATAAGCAGTGGACCTCAATCGAAACCTTGTTTTGGATTCACGAACGGAAGAACAGTCGAAGAAATCAGGATGGCCATCAGATAAATCAAGAGCGAGAAAGCAGAAGAACATGGCAATATATCAGCTGAGGCTCTGAAGTCAGACAGAAGTAACTGCAAGTATGTTACACGTTCTATTCAGAAAGATTTGGGAGGAAGAACAAGTGCCACTGACAGACTGGAAAGAAAGACACCTCATCAAGATACCAAAATAAGCAGACCTAAGCAAGTGTGTGACCACGGAGGCATCACACACGGTGGACAACTCGGATGTGGCTAAATGATATGCAGATGACCTAGCTCTTCTATCCAATACACAAAACCAAATACAGGTGAAGACAGTTAACGTGGCAACACCTGAGATGTGATACACGATTAGAAGACTGACCTTCATCATATACAGTGCTACTAATTGTGAAGTCAGACACTTTGGAACACTGAACAGATGATTAGCTTTAGTTCCAGGTTTTTCTTGATAATGTACACTAATAATTTATCCCAGGATTTTTAGAAAATTAACTTATTCATCAGGTACTTAAGCATGAGTCATACTCCAGGTGTGTGAACTAATAACACTGTGGCGTATGCTACTTATATCGACAGACACAAGTATGTAACACCAATAGGAAGTGGAAAAATTGGCAGCAGAAAGCCATGAAGGTTGACTTGCAGAGAACAGGATCAGAATTAGAAAGGAATTGTGAATCGGAAGAATCATACAGAATGTGAAAGACAAATGATGGAAATTTGCAAATGAAGTATTTAATGTACGGTCCTTATATTTTACCAAGATACTGTGTAATTTTGTATTAAAATACACTGGTTGTCTCCACTTTTGTTGTCGTTCATTATAATACTACCCTGTTGCTTAAATTGAAGTAGGTGGAGCGGGATTCAAGCCTGTAACTTAGTGGTTAAAAATCGAACACCCTAACCACTGAGCCACAGACAGGACCATAGTGATGAAAAATCAGTTAAATTGTTAAGGAAAAAGATAAAAAGAACTAAGTCCATGATGAGGTTTCATATCAACTGATAATTCTGACTCCTTTTTTAGACAACTGAATAGAAAACTAAGAAATCAGTCGGATATTTTTCATCAATTCTTACATGAATGTTAAATAGTCAGAAGCTATAAAGTCCATCAAAGCGTCAGCAACTGATTGTATAAAGGAAATGTATTGTTACTAATCCTTTGATTTATCAAAGTTTTTATAAAATGAAATCGTTTTTCTGATGTATTTTTGCTTGAACTCATTTAGTATTGTTTGTTTGAATCTTCCCATCGATGTGTTAGGACTGCAACTGGTCAGTCTCTAATTGGCATATGTACATACTGTGCGTATTGCCTCGATATATCCATCTCTGTTTATTTTTGCTTGGTTTAATGGTACTTCTCGCAGTGAAATAATGTTAAAAGAAGAGCTCTTGACAAAGAAAAACCCTGGACAATTTTTTTGTTGTAATTTGACACTTATTTAGCGATGAGCACGCACAACTTTACAGTGGACTGAATCTAGGCAAATTCATATTAAAAAAGGTATGTATAATATTTCTAAGCATTCAAGTGAAAATTCAATGATGCATTGAGAGTAATCTATATTTACTATAAATTTTACACTGTACACAATGAGAAACAAGTGATTAGACCGAAATTTATTTATTAAAAGTATTGTAGTACCTAGTTTGGTGTTATAAATAGACAACCATTTTGATGCATATATAGATATGTATACGCAAATACACAATATAGATTTTCAATACCACTGACGTTAAACACTAGCTATTAAACTATGGTAATACTCAGATCAACAAACTAAAAAGATAACAGAAGTAAACGAAGGCATATATACGAAGAATAAAATAATTTTCATACGTAATCTAACCTTTCTTCAGTAACTCTTTAGGATGAGGTGTTGGATCAGGGTGAAAGAAGTCTAAACGTTCAATAATCTCTGGATATTCTTTCTAAAAAAATAATAATAATCTAGTATTAAATAAACACCTTGAATATAATGTTTAAAATATTAGAAATTGTTCAATAAGATGCATGATATGTATTAACTTGATTTAAATGTGCCAGGAAACATTTACTGGTGGTTCATCTGAATATACAATGCTAATAATATCAAGCTTATTAGTCTTTTAACTGAAGATTTTTTGTGATTCCACTCTTACTTTATGAAGACAGGCTTCAAAGCACTTAACTCAAAAATATATATATATATTAACGACCAAGGTTTCCAGCTTAGGTGGAAGCTTTTGATGGAGCCATATTCTGAGTTGGATCGCTTTATTGAGGGGCTTTCATTGTTGTTCTGGACACCACCAGTGTCTACTTCATAAATAACTTAGTGCTAGAGTGCATCGTAGCATCAGCTAGGCGTCCTTGGAATGTAAACTTGACACGTCGAACACAAAAGCAGTGGATTTAACCATTTTCGAGCTATTTGTTAGACTCTGTTGTTACATTCAATCAAGTCAGATAAACGTTTTGCTTTCTTATAAGATCTTTAATTAGAAAGCTTGATTTGAAGTGAAATCTTAAAGTTTAGATAATTAACACATCAATCACTTATAAATATTAACTTCTCGCTAAATATACCGAATCTACCTTTATTTTGCTCAATAATGAAACCAGAATGATGTACCATACAGCCATGTTTTATCGCATTTTCAGTCATACTAATAAAATCGTTACAATGAGGAACGTAAACTGAGTTTTACTACACTAAAACACTCAACGAACTATGATGGCTGATGTAAGTGTAGGTTAGAAGAAACCTAGGGGTTGACAAACCAAGACATATCATTAGTCCATGAAGACATTACCGTTGAACTGAGTCCCGTAGGTAAGCGCAGACTATGTGGTTGAAGTTAGCCTGATTATCGTAACCGATGATCAGAGACTGTGGATGAAATGGCTCAAAATCGTTCGCAATACCGTATGGGTACACTTAGTATTTGTCTTCCTTTAGATTCTTAATTCCCCGTAAATTTTTTTCTATTATTTCACTAATTCATATATTTTTTTAGAATTGCATTATAGATGCCGAATCTCTTCTGTGAATATTAACCCTGTTAATACATCTGCTACAGTTTATCAATGGGGCATGACAACTTGAACCGACATATGTCCCCCAAATGCCCTGGTACGGCCGAGGGTAGAGAGAGTCCACTCTCCCCCTCGATGCGCTTTCACATGGCCACGTGTATACAGCTACTGACAGGGAAGTCCTACTCATGCATTCTTGCAGCAGGGGTGTTCTTCACGAGATTGAGAGGGCGAAAAGTGAATGTTCGGCGCTCAAATCGGGTTGGCAAGTTCAGAGGATCCACCTAGGAGAGTAAAAAAGACGTGACTCTAAAACGGTGGACTACAAGGCCCTAAGAGAACAAATGGCGTATAAACCTATTCTTAGTCGCCGGCTGTCATGGGATCGCATCTCCGGACTTCGCTTCACTGCCTTGCAGATTAGACCTTTAGGTCAAATAATCGGTAGTCGGCCGCCTAAGAAAACCACCTGCTTCGGTTAGAGCACCCGGGGAGTATCCCAACTAATACAAATCCAAAGATTTGTGTGGCGCATATATGTTTGGTGCCTCCTTGTACCAATGTTTATGTATCTCAAAAAATACATAAAATAGAACCAATACACACATGTCCCAGGTTCTACGTTATGTTTGACTTACCGACTGACTGACACTATAACACTATGATTCTAGACAATAATTAGAGGTATATATATTTTACATTCTGTATTAAGCACTATATTATTTTGAACAAAATGAATAAGAAGATCGTAATAGTAGGTATTTAACTATGAAAAAACAAATATGTCAGCACTTGAATATCCAACAAAAGGTGTCAAATAAAAGTAAAACTTACCTCGACACATGATTTCGGTAAATAACCCGAGTGACGAGATTTCAAAGAAGTAGCAAGGACCCAATCCGAATTTGGATCTTCATAGATTAGTAAGAAACGATCATTAACGACACATCTATAAGATATAAATATTCAAACAATCAAAATCATACGTACATGCGTATCAAACTAAAACATTCAATCTTAAGAAAGTGATATTTTGAGGGAATGTACGCATTGTACTATACAAATTACATTGATAAATTAGAAAAACATAGACAAACATTGATATGAACCTTGATCACGAACAGTATTGATACGAGTCTAATCCTTTTTACAGGTGTAAACTTCTGGTGGACCAGGAAACATTACTTATGTGCTCAGTAATAACAAAAATCGTGTATTAACGCTCAGTGGCTTAATACTAACACATCACAACAGTGTTATCGTATAAAAAGCAATCGATAAAGAAACTAGGATAACACTGGAAAATATACCGAAAAAGTTATCTGCATTTGGAATTATTCGTCATTGGAAAACCCTACTTACTTACCCGAGACGATCGTATCCATTTTCTGGTTCAAAATCTTGTACAGCCCGTAAACGTTGAGTATGATATTCAATTGGGAGCTGAAGTCGAATTTTTAAAGACACATTTGACAAAGTCACAGTGAAAATATGAATCAAGGTAGTAAATTTAAAACTGAACATGCACATAAATCCAAAAAATGGTAATAAAACAATAAATATATCTGTGTATTTATCAATTCACCCGCTTCAGTGCGCCATTCATATGGGATATACAATCCAGCAAATCAGCCATCGTACCACCATCTGGCCCTACCTTGGCCATCGGTCATATAAGAGTAGATTGTAAAATAACTGTGATTTACTTTACTATTTCAAAACACTTTCAGATGTTTTTTCACCCTAGTGTCTTTACGTAATTTTGATATGCCTCTTTACCGGAACTCATGAAACTAACTTTCAAAAAAATATTTTGTTAATTTTCGTATTATACATTATAAAATCTCCCAAACGTTGACCTAAATGTTTTCAATCTTCATAAATAATTGCTTTTATTATTATCCTTCTTTTCCAATTACCTATTTTGTCATTCAAAATTATCTTCATAATCACTGGTGAAATCGTACAATTATTATGTATCACTAATGTTAGTTTGATTGCAAACCACATATATTAGTGTAAATTCATGATGAAAAACTGATTGAAAAGAGATATTTCAGCATTCTGTTGTTCTTGTTTTACTAAATTTAACTGTTAGATTAATAAAAGTTTAATGTCTCGTGAAATAAAGAATAGAATGTAAACTGTAATTGTCATTCATTTATTTTATTTTATTTATACACATAAATATTGGTACAAGGAAGCGGTGATTCATTAATCGGACAAATGACGCATAAAACCCGTGCGAGGAGTCTAGAGTTCTTATCGGTCCAGCTTCTGTCTAGCCCAGTCTATTAAGTCCAGAACACCAATAACAACCTCTGTGATATGAATCATTTATTTCAAACACACTGGGTTTATATACCAAACAGACAGACCACATCGTACCATAAAATAGGAATCAACATTTGTAGGAGATTTAGCCGAATGTGGCTGTGAATAAGGGAGATAGTAAATGATAGACAGGGCATAATTCAAGAATGGTAAATTGTATAACAGTAGTTCATAAATCAAAATAAAGCTTATCATAATAGAGACATGAATATGAATAGTTTAGTTATTTAACAATTATACGATAAAAATATATGCATTTTATGGGTTCATAAATGCATCACAAAGTTACCATTCACTATTCTTATCGGGACGCAACATCAAGTGATGCTTAAAATTTAATTAGTGCACTTCAAATGGAATTATGTTAAGTACTGGCATTTCTTATTCATCTCAATAGTTTATGAATTCATTGAGTGCTTTTGGAAGTATGAGAGTGGTTTTCACTTCACAGTTTCCCACACAGTGGAAGGACTCTTCTAGAGGTGCCTATAAAGGAAATTGGGTTAGAGTTGGCCTTAGGGATCCGAGAGCGTGACCGCAGAACCCAAGGAACAACTGCTTGAGGTCAATCACATACGACCTTTCTGTGTTAGCTCCGTACTTGTTGAGACCTTACAGACGGAAATCCGTGGGATAAGGCAAGGTGCGCACTTTTTTAGGGCCGACCTTTTCTAACCCCATCCTTCCTTTTTGGTAAAGCAGTATAGTGGTTATACTAGTTGTCTGAGGGAAAAACCTTACTTCCGTCACACCGCTGAACGGTTTTATTTATTTATTTATTTAAACACATAAATATTGGTACAAAGAAAGCACCAGATAAATATGCGCCTCACAAATCTCATTGGATTTGTGTGACGACTGTGATACTGCTCGGGTGCTCAAACCAAAGTAGGTGGTTTTCTTAGGGGACCACACCCCTAGCCTTTGACCTAAAGGTCTAACCCACAAGGCAGTGGAGCATCGTAAGAAGATGCAGTCCCATGGTAGCCGGTGACCAACAGTTGGTTCATACGCCATTCGTTCTATCAGGATCCTGGAGCCCATGTGCACCATTGGTTTGGAATTAGAGTTTTCCAACTCCCCTAGGTGGACTTTCCGTGTCCACCAACCCGGTTAAAGCGCCGGACATTCCTCTCACTTTTGTGAACAACACCCAGGCCACGAGAAGGCAGTGAGTAGGACTTCCCTGGCAGAGGCTATATATTCGCGTGGCCATATGAGAGCATTTCGAGAGGGAGAGCGGACTCTCCCCACTCTCGGCCGTACCAGGGCATTTGGGGGTAGTTCGACTTCGCCTTCGGATCTTGGGTCTGCTGCTTTTAGTCTTACCGTCATTTAAACGACCTACCTAGCATGGTAGGACCTTAAGGAATAATTACTCCAGCCGGTATAGCCCGATTCGTTCATAATAATAGGCAAGCCCCACCACCACGTCAAGGTAACGGCAACGGTCAGGTTTATGAACTCCAGGTATGGTGTGATACATTGTTTAAATACATTTCATTGAGGGCCTTGTCTGAATTTAAATATAACAGCTACCTAGCTAAAACCAATTTCGTAGCTAATGTCTGATGTTGCAACACCGAAGTATTCTTCATATTAATTAAACTTATAACTAGTATGGAAACATTTACTCGGTTTTGAGTAAGTTTGTCAGGAATATTGATTCTCCTTAAAAGCCTAAATAGAAGTAGGTCAAAAATGAAGTGAGGTGAAAAAACAAGAAAACTTATCTCACAAGTTGACTGTTTGATGCTACACAAAACATTTCCGATATTTGAGAGCGTGTAGACGGTTACTTAGCTGATTTGATTTGTAATGCTTTGTAATATCTTTTTGTTAATATTTTTGCTTGATTTTGATCAGTCTTAGTCGGGACATACGCATCATGTGTGGATCGCGTTGATATCCATTATGACATAAGTCTATATAGTTTGGGTGAAATGTTGCTAGCTTACAGACAAATCCAACTGACAAGTCTCAAATAGAACGAAATGCAAATCTTAGGTTCTAACGTCAGTCAAATTCTATATATTCCATAGATTACATAAGTAGTTTCCCCACCAGTATCCCGCTATCGTACAAACAGCGTCTGAGTTATTAACTAGTTGCGGTCGGTAAATCTAAAACTACTTGTTTATTCATTTGGACACAAATAATGGTACAAAGGGGTGTCAAATACATTTGCGCCACACAATGACAGAATCTGAAGAGATAGAGAATGTAAAGTAAGTATAAGAAAAAGGAGAACAATAACGAATCGCGTTAGTAAGTAACGGAATTAAGTAAGTGAAATACCAGAATGGATTTTTGAATACGTATATTTCGAACACACACTGATTTGAACAGACAATCAGGACGGAGCGAAGAGAAGAAAGTGAAGCGAAATGACGTGCAGTTGAGGCATGTGAGCCAACTTAATTTAATCAAGCGTAAATCGATATTTATAGTCAGATAAAAGTAAGTTACAGACATGTGGTGAGTAAGATAGGGAATGCGCGCATACGCTTACATAAAAAAGGCCAACAGTGATAAAAGAATAATTAACAAGGTCAAAACGTGACTCACGAAGAATGAATAGATTGGCCTGTCCGGAAGCTAGAATCAGCTATATGAGTTTAACATAGCACTACAATTGCATGCCCTCACTCTGCCTGAGTTGTTTGTATATAGGGTTTTTAAGATGTTAATAAACTTCCCAGGCACACCCTTCTTCAATAGATAATCTCAGAGAACAGTCCTGTTCAACGAATCGAAGGCAGCCCTGATGTCAAGAAACAGTACGATTGTCGGCCTGTGATAAGTATGATGGTGTTCTAACACTTGGAGGAGGGTGAAGATACGAACGAAAACCAACTTGATCCTCACGAGTCAATCTTTCTCAGGTTTTGAACAATCTCCGAAGTATGACGGGAGTCAATAGTTTGGACGCAATCGGAAGTAGACTTCCCCCGTCCCCGATTGTTGTTACAGGAACGACGTGAACCCCTTTTAAAGATAGAGAAAACTATCGACTTATTCCATGACGTTGGAGCCCTCTCTAGCTCCCAGACCTTTGTAAACAACTCAGTCAATTCCTTAGCCAGAATGTCACCACCATCTTTAAAAAGAGCTGGAGGTAAGTCATCTGGGCCCGGTGATTTGTAGCGCTTTAAGAGTTGGAGTTCTTTGCGGACTTCCACCTCACTTGATGGATCAGTCGCCACAGACCACGGAGGGCAGCACATTCTGATCGGTGTTGCCGGAGCAGCAGGCTAGTTGAACTGCCCTTCAAAGACCTGTTTCGGTTTGGGCAGTATCACAGCCCTCACACAAATCAAATGAGATTTATGTATGCAACTGGTGCCCTTCAAAGAATTCTGCCCATCGTCCAAGACGTCGATGGATGTTAGTGATCGGCATCCTGTCATCCTCACAGATTGTTTCACTCACACCAGACTTCTTGCTGCCAGTGGCTCGGATGAGTTGGAAGAGCTTCTGGTAGTTGCCGGATGCAACTGCTGCTTCCAACTTATTGGCACGCTCCGATCACCAGGCTTCTCGATCCTTACGCAAGCTTTGCCCAATTCCATTACGTAGCAGCCTTCGTTTGTGGTCAAACTCACGGTCACCCGGAGTAAACCGACGGGCTTAGATGAGTTATAAGGAGACTGAAGAAACCTAGTGCTCATAAGCGGGACCTTTCTCGAAGCCGCAAGCCAATTTACCCGTCATTTTCACGGAGTCAGACAGTTGCAGCCAAATATCGGTGGGATGGTAGCTAGCCTTAAACCTAGCTCGGTTTGATATTTAGTTGCAACAGAAGCTGTAACCAAACACATGATACTATCCAGAAATCTTCATCTTTACCATCTCTATCATAATGCATAACTCCCGATAGTATTCTGCTAACAAAGTATACCAAATGTTATATAGTAAAACAGATTTGGACAAAGACTCACGCTTGTAGGTGGGATGGGATACTTAAGTCGCTCTCCTGTCATTATGTCACGAGTGTAATACCTTGACAAACATCCATCTAAGCTATCGAAGAATCTCCCGCCAATTTGAAAACAATTGAAACGAGGGATAAGTCTAAATAAAGCTAAACTTATTAGTAACTTAAGCTCACCTGAAATGAAAACAAGCAAAGGTTGAAGATAGGTATGAAAGAACGTAAATATCCTCCCATGTATCACCGCCGTGTGCTGCACGACTGAGACGAAGAAGATAACTGTTTGCTATTCCAAAACTCTGTAAACGCTTTTCCGCCTCAGCTCGATCAATGTAACCATGATAATATCTAGAAAAAAAGACCTCCGAAATGCGGTCAATCACTCTACGTGAAGAATCAGTGCGATAACAAATTTATGTGATGAAACTCGCTAGAACGTCGTTAATAAGTATGACAACCTTCTTCGAACACCTTATTAGAGGGCGATTAAGGCATCAGAAAACCTATACACTGGACTCCAGAATACACTAAGCCAGAACCGTTTACATATATGCAACACCTTCAGAAAGAAACCAAATGGTTTGAAAGCCGCATCACATATTTCAGTCAATAAGTAGGACAATGAAGAGCCACCAAAGTGTTTCGCTTCCTGTCCTGTGAATTTACCCCACGTTTCAGTTGAATAGTCCGTAAAAAGCAAATCTAGTCAAACATATTTCTAATACAAAAACAGAAACTAACAGAATCATGTGAAGTATGTTGATCTGACTAAAGCGCCCAAGTTTGAATTTATGAACCATGTAGTATATTGGTAAAAAAAGCTGTATATTACAGTTACCTAATCCCTTCTGGAATCATATTAATGTTTTAACCCTACCGTAACTGTTTTGGGAGGACAACAACAAGCCCATCACCATAACAATCACAGGAACAATAAAGCATCATTTGCAGGCTCTTTATTCGTAAAACGTGGAGGTTGACTTCAAAAACCATTTTACTAGCTGTTCATGCTCACTTGTTAGTTTCTAATGTGACTCTACTTTGTAGCCACGGGTAAAAGAATTTCAAAGTCCATGGCTTGACATTATTTGAAATATAATGACTTGAAATACTGAGCACCTAAAGAAATCAAGGCAAAACCTAGGGCATCAAACTGAAAATAAACTTTCACTACCAAAGATGCTAATGGTAGTTTGTAAGTAGCGAAATGCAGATTTCGGGTCACCAATAATGTTATTTACCTTCAGTTAAACAAAACGGATCTATTTGTTGCATGGTTAACATTACTCGAAGCATTTCTAAAGAACATGAAGCCTCCCATTTACGTGGTCAGCACAGCTGAGTGGACCATAGAAAAGAAGTACTATAAGTACAATTTGAAGGTTAAATAAATGCGTCTTATTAGAAAACTAAAACCTAAAATAAATAAGTAGTGACACGGATTATATTTAGCTTCAAAGTTTTCAAGAAAACTACTCTTATTATTTTCAAGACAAAAAAGATCAAAATCAAGCATTTATCAGCTCACTGTTCCAGGGATGGCAAGTCCGAAATGACACAAGTATCTCCAACTGTTGATTCTGGCATTAAGACTGTTTTGCACGACGGTTGACCTTCAACGCGTAATAGCCACTCGTTTTCCAAGGTGATTTCCTATAAAACTAAACACATGGTCCATTTTTTATTGTTTCAGTGAAAAACCTGGTCTTGATTTTTTTACATTTCTAGAGAATAAAAAGCGCTCAAATGTTTTAAATGGTTCAAATGGTTGTGGACGGAATAGAAGAAGCTTTCGCTTAACGGGCTTCCGTGTCTAGTAGCAGTGGATCACTATTACCTCCAGGCAAGAATCTAAGTATATGAACGATAATAGAGGAAAAAAAGAATTTGGTAAATCATAGTAATATGTTATCCTTAGTCCTTAAGAATATGTCAAGTTTCCTCTTAAAGGACTCTTGGGAAGCCACTTGAACCAGCTCATTCGGCAGCGAATTCCAGCATTTGACAACTCTTAAGGAGTACAAGTTGTGTCTACAGTTCGTTCTGCTATGTTGGGACTCCAGTTTCTGTGTGTTACCTCTTAGGTTAGTGTTGTGACTAAGCTAAAGAAAATGTTTAAGGGGATGACCAGAAGTTTTAATGATACTGTAAGTCATAAGAAGGTCACCTCTAAGACGCCTGTACCCTAACGGATAAAAGTTAAGTGATTGGAGGCACTCTTCGTAAGGTTTGAATTTGAGTCCCCTAACTGATTTAGTGACTCGCATTTGGATACGCCCCAGAGTGTCCTTACCCTTTTGGAGGGAGGGAGGAAATACTATGTTTCCGTACTCTAAATGAGGGCGAATAAAACTGTTGAAGATTATGTGGAAAGTTCTATCGTCAAACTGGCCAAAAATGCGCTTCAATGTTGCCAGCGCAAGGTTTGCTTGAAATGCGTTTTTGTCACTGAGTACGATTTTAAGTCGTAGGGTACCAACACTCCTAAATCTTTTTCGACTTGGGAAACTTATAGAGAGGAGTTTCCTAAGTTGTAACTACAGTCTGCAACATGTTGCAGATGGACTACTTTGCATTTTGAAATATTGAAGGTAAGTCCGTCATCGTCTGCCCAGCTTTGAAGTCGAGTCAGATGCTCCTGAAGTTTCACATCATCAGCAAAAGGCAATAAGTCAGATGGAACTTGTTGTGGAAGATCGTTAATGTAAATCAAGAAAAGAAGATGTCCTAGTATTGAGCCCTGGGGGACCTCACTAGGACATTCCATAGCCTGAGAGAGAGTGAAGTTAACTCTGACCTTAAAATGATTTTTTAGATATGAAGTGAGCCAGTTAATCAGAGGGGGTTTGATACCCAAACTTCTAAGCTTATTGATAAGACACATGTGGTTGACCCTATCAAAAGCTTTTGAGAAATCAAGGTAAATGACGTCAACCTTCCCCTTGCGATCAAGGATGCTTGTCCGTCTATCCACCGCAGTCAGCAGGTTGGTCATACAAGAATGACCAGAAACCATACTGTTGGGGCGAGAACTTCAGGGATAATAAGTATTCTTGTATACTGCCGTATATTAGAGACTCCATAATTTTAGAAGGTATGGAGGAAAGGGCCACTGGTTGGTAGCTTGAGGGTTCACTGTGTCGACCTCCTTTGAAAATTGATGTGATGTGGGCCAGCTTCCAAATCTCCGGCAGTTTGCCTCGGCTTAGCGAGCGTGAAAACATCACGCCAAGTGGTGTTGCCAGTATAGTAGAATGAACCATATCCGGACCGGGAGAAGTGTCTTCTCTTATGTACTGCAGTTTACAGAACACCAGGTCAGCGCTCAGGTACACTTCGGAAAGTCCTGTGCAGTTGTAGGTGAAGCTTTCATCAGTATAGTTGATGTGGGTCGGTTGAAATGTCCGAGAGTATTGTTCAGTCAAGAGATTAGCGGCATCACCGTCGTCATTGGTCGAGCCATTAGGACCTAGCAGTTGGGAAACTCCATTTTTGGCTTTTCGAAGAGAAGCTGCGTAACGGAATAAGCTTTTCGGATCGGAGATAAATTTATCGATAACCTTGGTACTGGGGTACTGAAGCCTGTCTTCTCTTATTGCCTTAGTGCACATGTTCCTTATATGTTTGTATTGCCTGTATGTGTCGTTGTTATCAGTTCGTTTGTATTCTGCTCAATAGTGCCTTTTTCGGTTAAGCAAACGAAGAGTGTGGTTTTTGATTATTGTCGGTTGTTTGTAGCGTTTTGGGACCATTTGAGGAACTGAATGCTTAGTAGCACATAAGAGCGTGTGCAGTATGAAATCTCAATGAGCATCCGCTTCAAGTCGAGGATGAACATCGCAGTTCACTTGCTGTAGATAGTCATGTAAAGCTAACACATTCAACCGTTTGAAATTCCAGCGTCTGTTGTTCGTGAGATAACTTAGCTCGGTTTTGCTGACAAAACTGAAGGATATAATGGAGTGATCGCTTTTCTCCAAGGGAGCCAGAATTGAGAGGTTATCAGCTAGGAATTCTTCATTTGCGAATACCCAGTCTAAGCGAGACGGCGTCTGATTGTTTCCCCAATGAGTTGCCGACTTCACATATTCGAATAATCCCAGATCATCAATAAGGTTGAAGAACCGAGCTTCAGTAGAGTTGTCACCTCCAATCTAGGTATGTTCCGCGAAGGTGATTCTAGGAAGATTGAAATCCCCTGGAATCAGGATATGAGAGAGTCCAAGACGAGTATAGCGGCTTAATCCTTCTAGTAAACGATTGTCATACTCGATGTCAGCAGTGGGCTTCCTGTAGATGACACCAACTATACACCTAGAGGTGGTAGACAATCTTACCGAGCAACATACTGATTCACCAAGATTGGGAAACTCTTGGTTGTGAAGTTGTTGCGCCTCTGGGCATGATCGTATGTATAATGCTACCCCACCCCTCATTCCAATTTTCCTGTCGTTGAGAAACAAGGACATTCCAAGTATTGCTAACTTCTGGTCTGTGAACTGAGACGATATCCAAGTTTCTGGTATTCCTATCAGAGGAGCATCATTAGCGTTGGTAAGCTCACGTAGCTCATCCATTTTGTTTGGCAAACTCGCAGCGTTCGTGTATAAGCAGTTTATGCTTTAAATGTGGAACGCATGAGCTTCTTCCTGTGTATCTATATGAGCCGTGCGTGAGTGGACAGGTAACTTACCTATACAATGTTTACCGAGTTGGTAGCCCCTATCCTTTACACGTCTTTTTTATGATCAAGACAGTCCACAAGTGAAATTGTCAGCTCCAACTTGCGTTTGTGCTTGATCCTGCTGTCGTGTGGCCTATCCGGATGCATATGGATACCAGTTGTCGACCAACATCTGTCGGCATGAAATGCTTCCAGAGTTGCAGCCGCCATATAGGACGATGAGAAGGTTATCTCCATTAGCCGGGGTCTAGAGTCTCCATGTTTCTTGGCTAGTCTCATCACCTGTTGGGTCAGTGTGTTTTTGAGTTTCAAGGAATGCCTGATGAATTTCCATTCTCGAATATCAGAGTTTGCTTGAGCTGGGTCCATATCGTCCGATACACCTTGCACAATAATATTTCTTCTGCGGAAAAGTGCCTTGCGAAATTCCTTAGGGATGTTCCGGATGAGATTTCGTTTAGAATACGGTATGTCGGGCAGTATTCTTACGTTCCCATCGGATTTAAGTAAGTGACTTGCCAACGGGACGTCCTCTACGTCGGAAGCATTCTCAAGTGTTACGCGAAGTAGACTCAGGTGGTTTTGGTGGTTAGAGTCCTTTCCCCGAGTGAGCTGTGAAACCTTCCAAGGCTCTATTCTAGGGAGTTCAAGCTTCTTGTTCAATACTCCCCAGGGCATCCTACCATTTTTGTCCTGCAAACTGAGGGGAAGGTCAGGGTTGTCAATAAGGTTCATAATTATAACAGAGTCGTCACGATCCGTTATTGATTTCCCAGGTTTTCCAGGGCGTCTATGTTCAATACCTTGTTGTTTGGATGTGGAAGCGCGTTTTCGATTCCTAAGCTCGGTGATGACCAGGCGGGCAGTCTTCGGGGTAGACTGTTCGGCCAAGTCATCAATTGATTTCCGCACAGTACTTGGGATGTTCAGCTTAGGCGGTTCCTTTTTACCCCTGTTAACGTGGGTCCAACCACCCACAGGGTTTTTGGGAACCACTGTTTCATTCAAGGACTCTCGATATCCCTTTTCTTGTTTGCACTGTGAGTTCCTGTTTTGCTACCCGTCGTGTTACTGTCTTTTGCGAAGTTTTTGGACAACTTGTTCCTCAGACCTGTTAGTTGGGTAATGATAGTACCCAGCAAAACTACAGTATCAGTGTCGCACGTATCACATACCCACCTACGGTCAGACTTGCTAAGTCTGCTATAGGTTGTTGCTGTCAGATCTGTGCACGCTTCATGAAACCAACCTTTGCAGCCGTCACACAACATGCCAGATGTAACAGCAAAACGGCAACCAGGTTTTCTGCATAAGTTTCTTATAACTAATGATATAGACTGTCTTATAAATGCAAGCAGTAAGTCTAGGACAGTTAAAAGAACACAGTTCACAAAAACGGGCAAAAGCGGAAAAAAACAGGTCACGATAAGCTAAAAACTAGCCTTTACGTGAAAACTAGAAAAAACCGATAATGAGCTGAGGCAAAACCATAGCTAACTATTAAGTTGAGTGAAACTAAAAAAAGTAATCTACCGAATGTTTAGCTCAGAATAGATTCTCTAGATCAGAAATGGTACTTTTGTTGCGTAAGAACACAGCAAAAGTCTGAGAAATGCAAATCACGTTAGGAATAAACTTCCAGTTAGAACGAGGCTCCGTTTTACTTTCAAAGCAATAAGACGCAGTCTCTGTTTAGTTCAGATCAGATTCACATTCTGATGTGCCGTCTCAGTTTGGGAAGGACAGGAGGCTAGGTGACCTGTATTAACCTTGGAAATGATGGCCTCGCAGTCGATCCATTTTTCTTTTGAGAGAGTCGAAATATGGAGTTCAAAACACATGTGGAGTTAATGAATTCCACTCGCTGGTGATTCGATGCGATATACGATAGTCAGCTGACTAATAGTTTGTTCTGGATCTGTGAACTTCGTGGAGTTTCCTCGTAAATTAT